CGAGACTTAGGTGCATCGGGGCGAAGCACCGTTTTGGTGGGGGAGGATGTCACTGACAGTTTTTCTTCCCCACGAATTCGGGTGGTTTGCTGCGAAACAGGCTATTTTCGTAGACGGACATAGGACGGAATGGTCTAGAGCCTTGTGGAATTCTCCGGTCAAATCTTGAAGACTCTGGAATTCTCTAGAGAGGCCCGGAACTCTCTAGAAACGGGTGAAACCGTGTGGAGGCTACCCGAGTTTGCTAGAACCGTGTGGAGGATTCTAGAGACTTGTAGATATTTTGGACTTAGAATATTTTATGGTAGGAATTCTCTAGAATTCCATTATTTTATTATGTACATAAAATTCTCTAGAATTCTTTGGGACTTGGGGTTTACCTATAAATACCCCATGCCCCCTTCATTTGTACCTTCATTTGTAATCCATCCAAGTTTTGAGTAGAGTTCTCAAGCATTCCTTAAGCTCTCTTGTACCTTCTTCGTTCTTTCACTTTCAACCTTTCTTAAGTTTTTCTTTGCCTCCGTTCTTTAAGGCCTTGCCTAGATTTGCATGTTTGAGGGTCTTAAGGCTGAGCTAGCACTTGATCATTAGTTATTTTGTGCTAGTGCCGCACGGCCGTTACTTTGAAAAAGTAAGCCCGTGACACAGGGAACAGCTTCCCGACAGAAGAATAACAGACCCCAGTCGTGAGATTACCCAAAAAGAAATTTCAAAGGCCCTCCACGGCGAGATGGCTGAGGAAATAATTGGCAACCAAGAACCAATGCCCACCAACAGCAGCATTATCCCGTCACTGAACCAACGCCACAGCCATTGCAGCAACTCCCCCCGACGGATCCAACGAAGCTAATCACTCACCAGGTAGGAGCCATTTATGGAGCTCTCCTCGAAGTCTTGTCCACGACAGCCATGAAAAATTCATTGCGAACTGTCACCAAAACCCCTCGACAAGAACCTAGCCACAAGAGATTCAAAGGAACAGAGGCCATCGTATTCACAGATAGCAATGTAGTCCCAGACATTTGTCCCCACAGTGACGCTATGGTCATAGAAGCAATAATCACAAATGTAAAAGTGGGAAGGGTTTACGTGGACAATGGAAGCGCGGTCGATATCATATATAGTGATTGCTTCAAGAAGATGAACATCAAAAACCCTTGCATCCGCCCAGCTACAATGCCGCTAATGGGATTCTCAGGACACACCATTATCCCTACAGGAATAATTAGCCTGCCCATCTCAGTAGGGTTGCATCCTAGGAAAATCACTTTGACCATGGATTTCGCCCTAATAGATGCACCCTCGCCGTTTAATGTGATCCTAAGGCGACCTTGGATGGTCCAAGCACGCACGATATGGTCTCCCTATCACTTGGTAATGAAATTCCCGACGGAATATGGAGTAGGAGTAGTAAAAGGATGCCAGCGGAGTTCTCGAGAATACTTGCTCACTGCAGTCAGAATTGGAAAGAAAACTGCATACCTTAACCCAGGGTCTGCTGTGTCAGAATGCTATTCGATTCGACAAACGGTCAACCCACCAGAGGTAGAAGAAACCGAGACACCCAGCCTTCCCTTGTTCAGTAGCAAGACACGAGGGTTAGTCCTGAACAATTCTGATCCCGCCAAAACCATCCAAATCGGGGTTTCTCTACAAGACCCCTTGCTAACCGAGATTAGCGCCTTGCTACAAGAGTTCCAGGACATATTCGCCTGGGCCCCGGCAGATATGGCAGGAGTCCCTCGAGAAGTCATAGAACATAGGTTAAATGTTAAACCAAATGTCAAACCAGTACAACAGAAGAAAAGAGTATTCGCTCGAGAACGTAACGATGTCATCAACGAAGAAACGATGAAGCTAGTCCGAGCCAACATACTCCGAGAAGTCTTATGGCCTACGTGGCTAGCCAATCTGGTCTTAGTGCGAAAACCCGACAATTCCTGGCGTATGTGCCAAGACTACACAGACCTCAATAAGCATTGCCCCAAGGACTGCTACCCTCTACCAGTCATAGATCAAATGGTGGAAGGTATTGCTGGGTATAGAGTCCTAAGCTTCCTCGACGCCTACAAGGGATATCACCAAATCTTCATGGCACAGGAAGATGCAAAAAAGACAGCTTACATCACCGAGATAGGAGTATATTGCTACGACAAGATGCCCTTTGGACTAAAAAATGCTGGAGCCACATATCAGCATCTCGTGAATAGAGTCTTCCATGACCAGATCGGCCGGAACATTGAGATTTATGTGGACAACATGGTGATAAAAACCAATAGGGACGAGAAAGTAGCCGCAGACATGCGGGAGATTTTCACAATACTATGCAGGGTTAACATGAAGCTGAACCCCAAAAAATGCACCTTCTGTGTAGGATCAGGAAAATTCCTAGGTTACCAAGTCTCCAAGTCTGGAATAAGTGTTGATCCGGCTAAAATCGAGGCTATCTTAGCTATGAAAACTCCAAAAATCGTCAAGGAAGTTCAGAAACTCACAGGCTCCTTGGCGGCCCTAAACAGGTTTCTATCTCGAGCTGCAGAAAGAAGCTTCCCATTTTTCCATACCCTCCGCAAAGGCAGAAAATTCGAGTGGAATGAAGAATGCCAGAAAGCCTTCCAAGACCTAAAAGAACACCTCAAACAGTTGCCCACATTAGATAAGCCTGAGCCAGGAGAGACACTATACGTTTACCTAGCAGCCCAAGAGAAAACTGTCTCGGCGGTCCTCGTACAGCACAAAGACGGCAAAGAAGTCCCCGTCTATTTCGTTAGGAAAGTCTTGCAAGGAGCAGAAACCTGCTACACACCCATGGAGAGGCTTATCCTCAGCCTAGTCTTGGCCGCACGACGTCTGCGCCCATACTTCCAAGCACACCTCATCATGGTTTTAACGGAACAACCAATTCAGCAAGTCCTGCTAAAACCAGAAGCGTCCGGCAGGATGATGAAATGGGCAGTCGAGTTAGGCGAGCACCATATCGAATACAAGCCTCGATCAGCCATCAAAGGGTAAGCCTTTGCCAATTTTTTAGTAGAAACACCTCGAGCTATCGAAGTCAAGGGAATGGCAGAACCTAAAAATGATCCCACTACTCGCGCCCACATCAATCCTCGGGCATGGTCACTATATGTCGATGGATCGCGTTGCGGTGAAGGGGGAGGCGCCGGCATCATATTATCCAAACCTCCGGCCGATCCCGACATCGAGAACATGAAAGAATACGACGCGGAATATACATATGCACTGAGATTCAGTTTCTCGATCACCAATAATGTAGCAGAATACAAGGCACTGATAGTGGGGTTAAACATGGCACTAAAACTTGGTGTCCACAAAATACAAGTTTTCAGTAATTCTCAAGTAGTAGTGAAACAAATATCGGGAGAATACACGGCAAACGACAAGCACCTCAAGCGCTACCTTTAGAAGGTCCTCGACATCAAGGACAAATTTGAGGAATGCACCGTATGCCACGTAGTCCACTCGAAGAACAAAAGAGCCGACGCCCTCAGCAACCTGGCCTCCTCGAACTTTGCACACCTCAGCCACAAAGTATGGGTCGAAATTCTCCCCAATCCCAATATCCAGGATGTCCCCATAGCGACCATCGTCGAGGACGGCGACACTTGGATGACCCCTTTCATTCAATACCTTACAAATGGGACGTTGCCAAGTGGAAAAGCAGAAGCAAGAATCCTCCAATTAAAAGCGGCCAAATACACGTTGCGAGACGGCATCCTATACAAGCATGGATACCTGCAACCCATGCTAAGGTGTATTGGCCCGAAGCAAGCAGCTTACGTACTCGAAGAAGTACACGAAGGATCACGTGGAGCTCATATGGGAGCAAGAGCACTCGCCAAGAAGGCCTTGTGAGCAGGATATTTCTGGCCGACAATCTTTAAGGACGCCTACCAATGGGTACAAAAATGTGAGAAGTGTCAGCGCTTCTCCCCCGTCACCCGACAGCCACAGCACGAGATGGTCACCATCCAAAGCCCATGGCCATTTTACCAATGGGGCACTGATATCATGGGCCCCTTTCACCCGGAAGGAGTAGGAGGAGTAAGATGGGTCATTTTAGCAGTAGATTACTTCACTAAATGGGTAGAAGCCAAACCCTTGGCTTCGACCACCGGGAGAAAAGTCTTGGATTTTTTCTAGCAGAACATAGTATGCCGCTTTGGGGTCCCAAAAATCATCGTCTCCGATAATGGGACCCAGTTCGAGAGCAACACTTTCAGATCATGGTGCGACAAAATACAGATCGAACGCCGCTTCTCAAGCGTAGCCCATCCCCAAGCCAACGGGCAGGCCGAATCCGTCAACAGAACGATACTGCATGGAATCAAGACCAGGTTGTACGACGCCAAGGGGGCATGGGCTGACAAACTCCCCCACGTCCTGTGGGCATACCGCACAACTGCCTACTCTTCGACCGACGAGACGCCGTACAGCTTAGTCTACAGAATGGATGCCGTCCTCCCTGTCAAGATCGGCCTGTCGAGTCCTCGAATTGCAAACTTCGTCGCAAGTACCAATGATGATGACATCCGACTAAACTTTGACCTGCTCGAGGAGCGTCGAGACGCCGTCAGAATCCGAGAGGCCAAGTATAAAGAGACTCTTCGAAGACATTACAACAAGAAGGTGAAAGCCACGGATCTCGCTGTGGGTGACCTCGTACTAAGAAAAAACGAGGCCAGTCGGGCAGAAGCCCCTGGGAAACTCACTGCAAATTGGGAAGGACCTTACAAGGTTATCCAAGCTTCCCCAGCAGGCTGCTACCGCCTACAAGCCATGGACGATAGTGGAACCATCCTTCCTCGATGGTGGAACATCCAGAATCTTCGGAGGTTCTATGTTTAAGCCCTTGTCTGCCCTTTATGTGTTTTACTTACTTTACTCAGTCAATCTTATACTCTCATATGTAATGCTAATCCGGGTCCTCGGGTAATTATTCAATGAAAGACATTACATATTCTCCCTCTTTATGACTAGTCATCGAGATGGACTCCCTCTTTAGGGCCATCCTCGATCAAGAGCCGTGTACTCAACATCCGGACACAAATTTGAGGAACATTCCTCATGCGCATTGCAAAACGCAATGTCAAGAAAAGGAATTCGTACCCAATTCCTATGATAGAGCCGTGTACTCTACATCCGGCCTAAAAAGCATTTTAAACATCAATACTCGAGTAAAATAAACATTCGTTCCACATTGTTGTGCGAACTCACTGGAAAGTACATACGTTCTACACTATTACAAGCACCTCCCTGACAGAATTGTCGGGGGAGGGATGAATAATCCCTTTATACCCATGCAGGCTAAGGAGATTCACGCACTGATTTAATTTGTCCTTGAGGTCCACGATCTCTGTATCCTGAGCGTGCACCCTCATCAACAACTCCTCTCGAGAACTCCGGGTTCGAGGATCTACTGTCTCCTCCGGACGCTCGAAAGCCTCGAAGTCGATGTTGTTATCCAGCAGAAGATTTTGAAGTTGAGCAACATAATCTGTAAGAAGCTTGATTTCACGAGACCTCTCTTTCAATATATCCATGGCTGCGATAAAGCGACGAGTCCTGACCACAATCATGTGTTGGACTCGAGCCAGCACCTGGTGCTTCTTGAGAAACCAGGAAGACACAGTAATCTGCTGTCTTACCCTAAGCCGAGCATTTTCCTTCTCCATGTTCACCAGCTCGTAATGAATCTCGGCCTCGAAAGTTAAAGAATCGCTGTGGTCTCTCAAGCTTTGAACCTCTCGACGCTGCATCTCTTCACGGAGTCCTTTGATCTCGTTTATCATATGCTGGTTAACCTTCACGTTTTGCGTCCTCATAGCATCGAGCAGATCATTCTCCAAATGCGCCACTGTCTCGAGGCTGTGCACGTCAGCACGACTTCTCAGAATCCCGCTTATCATGGAATATAATGGAAACTCCCTCGATTGCTCCTCTGATAACACCATGTGGTGCACGCGGTAAACGGTCCAACTTTCCTGTTTCACCAGAGGAGCATAAGGCACTCACATCAAACCAAATAGAAAGAACACTGGGGACAAAAAACCGGAATAAAGAGAGACGTTTGCATAAATCTAAGCAAGGAGAGAAAAATTTGTTCATTACAGCAAAAAGGAAAAAGTTTGAATGGCCTGAAAAACTATTACAGAAGGCAGGATTCATACAGCATCACTGCCTAGGAGAGGATCATTGGAAGGATCATTGGAAGGGTCCTTGGAAGGGGCCTGAGAGGCATCCTCAGCGGATCTCTGAACTCCAGAGTCACCGGTATCAGCAACATCCTCCTCGGTTTCCTCATCAGCATCCTCGAGCTCGATGCCCATATACTCATCCGGAACCTCGGGGATAGGGTCTTCCTCACTTGGACCCTTGGCCAGGACAGCAGGGACGTCACCTGGAAACGAGGCAATCTCCGCTGGGGAACTCATCTTGGGCATGGCACCGATCAAAGCTCCCCACAGAGGGAGCTGCTCAAGGCTCAACCTCGTCAAGACCTTCACCATGGCCTCGTGCATGGTTTTCTTTGGGTCCTTCATCAAGAGTTGCTTAAACCATTTTGCCTTAATTAGCCTATCCTGGTCGAGTCTCTTTAACCCTGCCACGCCCACTCGCTGCGCACCACACTTGGTGGCAACCAAGCTCACCTCCTCGAGAGCTGCCGCCATTCCGCCTGTGGACATCATCCTGTACATAAAGGCGGAACACCACTGGTGGAGCTCCTCCTTGGAGATATGCAGGCCGGCAAACGACTTCATCTTCTCGTCGAGCTCATCGTACTTGGCCTGCACCTCGACAATCTCTGCTTCCTTGGCCTGAACTTGGCGAACCTTCTCCTCGAGGGTAACCATCTCGAACAACGCCTCGTCCCTTTCTGCCCTTGCTGCTGTCAGGTCCTCTCGAAGTTTCCTCAGCTGCACTAAATAAGCCATCGAAGCTGCGCTCATCTGAGCCAACATAACATATTAGAGACACATGGACTTCCGCGGCGCATGTACGACATAATTTGAAGAAAATTACTTACCAGCCGCAAGCTGTCAGTCTCATTCACTTGGGCAGCAATCCTTGAGAATAGGACACTCGATTGAAGGAGGGTTGCTGAAGGTATGAACTGCCACAGTCGGGCCTCCCTCGAACAGTTGGGAGGGCAAGACTATGGCTTCTCCCTCGAGAGGGTTCTTTCCTTTCCCTACCCCGGGAGGGGCTGTGCTTGGCCTTGTCTACGGCACAGTTTTCTGCATGGACTCAGTGGCAACGGGCACCGTCTCGAGGCTTGGTTGGACAGTTTCCTTCGAGGGCGCATCCGTCTTGGCCTTTTTGGACTTTGCCCTGTCACCCACCTTCACGATCCTTTTCTTCTTCTTCTTCTGGGGGGCGGCAGTAACGCTAACGTCCTCATCTGAATTCACAATGGCAAAAGGATCTTCGTCACCAAACAATCGAGACCCAGCATTGCTCGACGACATGACCTAACAACAAAGGAAAAAAAAGAAGAAAACGATTAGTACCTTGATCAGAGATTTTGAGGGAAATTCTGGTTGCTCCCTCGACGAGGACCGTATCACCTTCCTTCGCATATGCAGGGGGCACATAGTATTGGACGTCATTCCAACGTTCGCGGACCTCAAAATTTTCTCAACATCTGCCTGGAACTCCTCGACACACTCTTCATCCTCTTGGGTCCAGTCATCTTTTATGGCCCCAAGGCCCTCTGTCTCACGGAGGTTCCATGGCAGACAATAACTTACAGGCGCCTTTACAAACACAAAATCCGGTTTCCATTCCGAAGAACCGCCGTACGCCTCGACCATTTTCTTCACGCTGGCTCTAAGGTGTCTTTTAACTATATACCAATCTTGGAAAGAAGTCGAGGCCACAACTACTTGGAAAAAGTACCTCCATAGTATCAATCGAGGTACCACCTTTACATACTGGCACACTCTCGCAAACCCCAGTACAAATGTAATTAAATTTGGGGTAAAACGAGCGAGAGGAGTCCTATAATGTTGAACAATCTCCTCAAACAGGGGGTAAAGGGGAAACCTAAGCCCTAGATGCATAAATTGATCATACACAGTAATTCTTCCCCTTGGAGGAGAGTTGGCCCTCTCGTTTCCTAATGGAGCCCTCGCCTGTAAGGCGGAGGGGAAGTCATACTTGGATCTGAGATATTCTACCTTTCCACCGAGTCTATGGTGGAAGCAAAGTCTAGAACAGTTTTTCCTTCGGAATCCCTAACCATAATTCTGTGAAAAATCTATTGTGGTTACAGTCGAAAAGGAAACAGAACGAATCGGAGGTTTAGATCTAGAAACTTACTGTGTAAGGGGGACGTGACTACTCGCCCTTCGAATTATAACTCCCCAGTGTTGACTAGAAGCCTCAAATCGGAGCTTCCCTGGACACAGCGTCGCCGGGGCAGTAAAATTATGAAAATTCCGGCCGGGAAAGAACTTCGGATGCTCTGGAAAGTGAAGTGGGGGCTGAAATGATTTTTGCAAAGGGGAAGATTTTCGTGCTTTTTACAGAGAAAAGAAGTGATTAAGTATCCAGGAATAATAGAAGTTTTTCTCTTTTAAACGCAAAGTTGATTCTCCCACGTCTCCTTAATTATGGGCCACGATCTGACAGTTATTGCGGGTCTCAAGGAAGTAATGATGTTGAGGCTGCCGTTTGGGGAACGTGCCCGCTAATAACGCATAATTGAAAATTTGAGCGGGATTGGGGAAGCGGGTCGCCTTCCTGGACCACGACCCGACCCGCCGGTTCCTCTCGATCCTCCAAGGCCGAGGGTGGCGTGTCAGCACCGAGCTTGTTAGGCGTATGCCTCGACAATCAGCTGAACGAGGGCGATCTATCCACCCTTGGGCACGTCTCAGGTAATGCTCATTTTATGCCAAGTGTTGTTTTGTTTCACATTACTAACACTTGGCAGGGGCACTTGACGAGTCCAGATCCATGACCGAGATTGTCCCGGCCCACTCACCACAAGAAGAATCCAACTGGGACTCTTAGGACGGTGTGAATCCCTAAAACCTAGTAGGATTCGGAATGGTCCGGGTAATCACATACCTATAAATAGGGTAGCTCATACAGTAATTCAGGTACGCAATCTATAAGCCAAACATACTACCTCCCAAAACTTTCTAGCAATCCCGTTTACTGACTTAAGCATCGGAGTGTCTACGCTCAGGAGACCCCGAGGCTCTGTTTTGCAGGAAATCCTAACCGGAGTTCCACCGTTAAACCGACGGCGCATATCCATGCATTGTCAAATTACCGACTATATGGAAATGATTTCTAATCAAGACACAATGAACCTCTTAAAATGGCTGGCAAGTCTTTGGGCGATGATATATATTCTTGATTCCCCTGAACAAGCAATCCTAGCAAGACTATCTTCTAGAGCATTTGCCTCTCTATAAATAGCAATTTCTGCCATCTCAAAAAAAAAAATTTCATGAAAAAGCATTTTCAGTTCTTAAGATGTCTGGTATTATCTATCTATATTTGAACACAATTCAGATTTAGCTCCTCACATTTATGAATGCCAAATAATATTCTTTTTACCTCTGCCCATCCAAACTTACACTCACACCCAAGCTTGCACTTTCTCCATACACAAAACCCGGCCCCCATGTTCTCATCTAATCACAACCAAATTCTGAGTTACTTAGCGAAGCGATAGCATATCCACCAGTGTTAAAGAATATAAGAGTCATTTACGGGACGTATCCAACAAACCATCTTATAAATCTTCCTAGCGTAGTTGCGCATCAATTTCACAAAAAAAAGAAAAATGCTTTCTCCAGTATTTGTTTCTCAAATGATGTTTTCACATTTGACTTGTGAACGTGCAACATCCCGGTTATGAGGTCGGTTGGGAGAACCTTTGAAGACATTTTAAACCTTTTCACGTTTTAACCTTTAATTTCAAATGTTTCCTTTTTTGTTTTACTAAAATTATACTCTTCCCCAATATAATTAAGAGGGCGTGAAATCATTTTTTCATCTTGATTACTCATCCAGAAGATAAGAAATCGAAATATTCATATCAAACATCAAAACCATAATATCAAAGTATTAATCTCTTCCACCAAAAATCAGAACTCAAAAAAGAAAGAAAAAAAAAAAGGAACATATTGTAAAAACAACACCTCCTAACTTCACAACCTAATTTATTGTGAAATTCATTTGAGTCATCACCATCACAAGCTTCCTCCCAATTTGGGTTTTCTTTTTGAAGAAAAAAGAATCAATACCTAAACGGGCCCGCACACCTCTTCCTTTCCTAAACCCAGCTCCTAACTTTTCTAAATAGTTAATTTGGAGCCAGCGTCAAATGATATATCTAATCTAAAGTGAAGGGAGAACCATGGCTAGGTACGGCAAATCAATCATCAATTACACAATGAAATCAACCCACAACTTCTTTAATCAATACTTGATGCTTGCCCCGGCAAATGCCCGAGTGCGTCCTCCCATCTAATAAATTAATATGTAAATAATCAAAATTGATTAGGAATAAATTTAGTTTTTGATGAAGATAATTGATTGATCGAAATTAATTTTTTCGAAAGTCCTAAATAAGTGGAGAAGGAAAATTTCATTCACTGTCAAATTCAAAATTTGAATGAACATGGCCATCTGATCTCTTCGTTAATATTGTAAATATATTTTTTGTTTTTAAAAGGGGGTAACACGTGGCAGAATGGTTTATGCAATATGGTGCATTTGGAGCCAAAACCTTTTAATAAGAAATTGCATCCTGTTTTCTGCTTTAATAGGGTAAAAGGGATATCCACAAAATACATTCTCTTGCGCTTAACTAGGAGTTTATCTGCACAAACGCATAAAATAAAGTACATAGTACAACAAAACAAACATAAAAACTATGTAAATCAAAAAAGAGGGAAGGAAGGACTTCACTAACCAATGAGAGACAAAGTTCACAGGTTTCCTTCAATATCTAAGTTCACAAAAAAAAAAAAAAAAAAAATTCTGTAAACCATTGTGGATACTTTTAAGTCACCAACATCAATGTTCTATAGAATATAAGCATAACGGACCCTTACAGTATGATGGAAGCAAAAAGAAAAATTATCAGATGCACTGGCCACGCATGACCAGGATATAATTGGTTTAATATGTATGTGGAGACTATTACATCAATATATTATACATATTTTGGGAAGTTTGATTTTCCAAATTTTCAATAACTTTTTTTTTTTGGCGGAGGGAGGGTGGTAAGATCTTATTCATACATGCCTATTCTTTAAATTTCATACACCATTCCAACTCTTAAAAGCCTGGTCCTCGGAATCTCCAATGTTTTCTCCCCTTGCCTTCCATTCTTCCTAAGGAAACTATAAGCATAATTGACCACAAATTTCTTGAGAAGAGATGAATCTTGTCTTGCTACCACTTCAGCTTCCCCAAGCAAATAAAACACACCTTGGTCCATTGCTCTCTGCACAATCTGCAATTCGTTTTCAACCAATAATGTAGTAGCCCCTCCCGGGGTCCGAACCGAAGAATTTCTTGATTTTGAACCATTAACACAAGGCTGGATTGAACCTGATGATGAAACTCTTGCTTCTGTCAACTCTTGCTGAGGTGAGGATTCCTCATTGCGTACTCTAGATGAACTAGATTTGATCCTTTCATCAGCCTTTCCATCCCCTTGTAACAAACCGGAAAAATGTTGCATGTTTTGCTCAGTCTGTCCGTCTTCAAGAATGAAATTCTCATGCCTGATGAAATCTTTCAAATTCTCAATAAGCTGATGCTCAAAAACTCGTGGTTCTTCGATCTTGTCCTTGTAACCATACCTCACAACACAGCGAAAAACCCGAAAATCTTTAGGCTCAACTTGCCTAAACAAGAACCTCTCCTCAACTGACACTTTACTAATTGGAATTGACTTGATGGACACCATAACCACAACCGAGTGAACTGATGAAATGTTAGATATAAAATGTGGGAAAATTGGTGGAATCCCCTGTACGAGTTCTGAATACAGAAGTCCGATCCCTGGCACTCGTTTGATTCGCGGGTTTTTTGCCAAATCCCTCACATACTCATTAGATACTTTGTTGTGGAGCTCAAACAAGTATCTTTCCTTGTGAGCATAATGCCAAATACCCATGATGATCATCAGGACTAGTGCTAAGCCTAATGGGAGATAACCACCTTGTTTGAATTTGTAAAGAACAGCAGATAAATAAATCAGGTCTACTGACATGTATACCAGGAAGAAAAGTGAAATCCACCATATGCTTGCTTTCCATATCATCAGCATTATCAAAGTAACTAGACATGTTGTGATCACCATAACCGCAACCACCGCGATTCCTGCAAATATTACACACAACGTTAATCCAGTTTGTGTTATAATCATTAAACTCATATGTCTGAATTCAAAAGGATCAATGTTGTTAATTGAATTAATTACCATAAGCATTGCCAATGCTTTCTGTGGTTTTGAAGCCCCAAGTGACTACAACACAAGCCACCATGAGGAGAAAGTTGATCTCAGGGATATACACTTGGCCATCATACTTAGCAGAAGTATGAACAACTCTGACCCTTGGAAAACAGTTAAGGCTGAGGGATTGAGATATAATTGCAAATGCTCCAGATATCATAGCTTGGCTAGCAATGATCGCCGCGGCAACGGCGATCACGAAAGTAGGCCAATATATTGGATCTGTTCATCATTCCAAAAACACCATTCAGCGAATCAGATTAATAAAGAGTCCCACTCTAAATAATCATAAATGATGTATAGTCCTGTTTCGGTTAACAGAACAACAAAAATAGTTCTTCTTGTACATAATTAGGTCTCAGCCCAAAAAAACAAAAACAAAAACAAAAACTTACCTGGGATAGAGTCATAAAAAGCATTATGCACATTATTTGGAAATTTCATGAGGTAAGAAGCTTGTCCTGCATATGCTGCTGATAATGCCGGGAAAACCATAGCAGAGAAACTGATCTGAAACAACATTGTTGAAGAAAAATAACACATGAACACGACGAATTGGCCTTCAAATGGGTGGGTACCTTTTTCAGGATTAAAATCGTGTGTATACATATAAATACCTGAATGGCCCTGACATTAAAATGACCCAGATCAGCGAACATAGCTTCAGTTCCTGTGATGCACAAAACAACTCCACCTAAAGATATCCATCCATCCTTACCATTTCTTCTGAAGTAATCAACGATGTACACTGGATTCAATGCCCTAAAAACTCCAGGTTCATACTTAAACAAGTTGTATAGTCCAGTCAGGGATATGAACAGAAACCACAATGTGATGACCGGAGCGAAAGCGAATCCCACCTTGTCAGTTCCAAACCGTTGGATTCTGAACAAACAGACTAGAATCGCGATGGAAATTCCGGCGATAGCATCTGTGAAATCAACGGGTATCGTCACATTGCGTTGCTTATTGCAAAGAATGATTTTGTTTTTTATTTTTTTTTTAGCATTTTGTTACCTTTGCTCAGGGACGGGATCCCACCCACAGCAGAAAGAACTGCAAAAATTAGAGCTCGCAGAGTTTAATGTTGTGAAGAAACAATGCGATACTTTCTTCTGTCATAAAATTATTGTCTAATTTAGGTTTTTCATTTTCAGTTTAAATTGCACTAAAAATGAAAATCTAAAGTAGACAATAATTTTTGGGCCGAGAGAGTACGATATTATAAAGTCTAACACGGTTCTAACTGACACTTTAAGATAGTTTCTTTTTAAGTATTATCATCACAAAAGAAAAATGTCTAGTCGTGATAAGCTTGTCATAGTGTTATGTTATATTCAATTTTAGACTTTGCGTCCCTTTTTTGGACCAAAAGTATTTCCACAACATACATGGAAATCATATTGAGACGGAGAGACTAAAGAGAGTCAAAAAAAATTAAGGAACCTGAAATGCATGGAGTTAGGACACCATCACCAATCACCATTGAAGTTCCTAGGATGCTGCACAGAAAAAGCACAATCTTGGCAATATTGCTTTTTTCAAGCTTCTCCTTAATCTTCTGAGACCTTCTCAAGTGATTAGAAGGTACTTCCAGCCTGTAATTTGAAACGTCTTTGTCCTCTGGTTGATGATTTGGTATTAAGCTCACCTTTGCATATCTACACAGCAAGGAGTAGAGTGCAAATGTCCCTCCTACGAAAAATGGATATTAATTAATTAGTAAAGTATTACGATTAATTACAAAATGAATATTAATTAATTTGTTCTGAAATAATTCATTAATCACCAAATACATCAATGATTACATAACATTATACAGCATTGGAAAGAAAATCTCTGGGTCAAATTTAAAAATGTTGTAGTGATCTAACAATTTATAATGTACTAGTATTTCTAATTTCTATATGGATGAAAATTATGATCAAACAAGTTGGACTCCTATCTAAACTAATGAACTAGCTACGTTATATCTACATCGTCCATCTCAAAAGAAAAACAATTTACTTTGTTACATTATTTTAATTTATTGTTTTTTTTTTTTGGGGGTAGGGGGGGGGGGGAAAGAATATATTTGTTTATCGAAAAGTTTATTAAAAAAAAAAAAGACAAGAAGAAGAATAAAAAATGCATACCATCACCATTGTCGTTGGCCCACAAGACTATGAAGACATACTTGATCATGGGCACCAAAATGAGGGTGTAGAGAATTAGAGACAAAACCCCCAATACATCGTCTGTATGGGTTATTCCTTTTGTAAATGTACTCGAGTAAACGTAGAGTGGAGAAGTCCCAATGTCACCGTATATTACTCCAATGCTTTGAAACGCCAAACTCAACGTGGTTTTCCAACCAAAACTGCCCTGTTTTTTTTTTTTTTTTTGGGTATTGCAAAAACATTATTCAGTGGTTAAGTAATTAGTCTTTCTCCAAATTATTTGCAATGTACAGGTGACAAACGTAGATATTCTCAAAAGAAAATGAAAAAGAAATGAGGTAATTAAATTAAATTCCTAGATTTAACGAGGGTTAATATTTTGAGGAATAATATCGTATTAAATGTTACTACTTTCGTTCCAAAAATATAGTACACTTTGAGTTTTGAGTTTTAGGACGGAGGTAGTATTATACTTGTTTAGCTGAGAGATGTTGTAGCGTAATACTACCATCGGAAAATTTTTTAAATTATTTAATTGGTTCTTGAATTTGGAAAATGTAGTTTTGTTTTTATCCTACCTATAAATCAAAGAAGGCTTGCTTTTAAAAAAAATCACAACAATTAATAGAAACGAATTCCTATATTTATTGTCGTTCGATCATGAAATAAATGGACTAATGAATTCAGCTAGATTCTATTAGTCAATGTTAAAAGTGTATAGATAGAGTATTGTTGGTTTTGGGTTACGATATTGCCACACTAGAATTTAACACCCAAACCAAAGTAAATTAAATTCTCTTTCCAAGACTGCCCTTATGAGATCAACTCTCATCTTCCTCTCTTCAGTCATTCTCTATTTCTCTTCGTGTATCTCTCCCTTTCAAAAATCGATTCCTATTCTTCTACTACGCAACTAATCTACAGTTCACAACCTTTAAAATGGACCAAATTAACCTTTCAGACTTTGACCGCTTCAATTTCTCTTAAAGATGGGTTTCAACTTGCAATAAAATGCAATTACTGGGTTGTTTCTACAATTCCTGTCATCAAGTGAAGGATTGACCAAAGAAAGCCGAATTTTACACCGACAACCAAAGAATAGAAGATAACTAAGAGAAGAGAACTAAAAAGACAAGTGTTGACCTTGTAGGGGCAATTTGGGAACAGAACTTAATTTTGCTCTGAATGTTAGATTCTGATCTAACAATATCGCCAACCATTTGTTTTAGATTTTAGAAATTTTTCAATGAAAAAGGAATGAATAAAATTTACTTGAGTTAAAATTAAAGAAAGAAAAATGGTACCAACTTAAATATATACTATATAATATCAAAGCCGTTATTTTTGTCGATTGCTTTGGTTGGGAAATTAAAATTCACTTGAATGTTTTGCCGTCTCGACAAATTAATGCTAATTCGAAACATAAGAAAATCCGAAAGAAAAAACAATTGTGTGTGTATAAGAGAGAGACGGGGAAAGAAAATACCTCGGTACTCCGGTGATTAGCATGACTGAAAAGAACATTTCCAGCCTCCAAATTAAGGGAGTCGACTCGGTGCAACTTCGCCCACGAAAGTTTCCGGTCGTTTAAGTTACCGGTGGTGGCGACACTTGGAGCGCCGTCTCCACCGCGATGATCAACGGCCGCTGCACCCTCAGCTGCTGGAAACTGATCGGAAGACTCCATCACTAATTTCTCCCTTTTCAGCAGCAGCTAGCTTGCCTCATGTCCCAATGAATTTTATTCGTCTATTTATAGAACTACTACGTAGGTTAGTAGTACTATACTAATAAATAAAATAATAAGATACTTCATTATGACTCTTTTTTATTTCGAAAGGGCACAATTACGTTAACCAAATTTTGATTAAGGGGAAAAAATATGATTTGATTAATAAAAAGAGTCGTTATTAATGTTGAGAACTATTCTCTTTGTCCCAAAAATTTCGTGTGAGATTTGTACTAAACTCAATATGAGATATTTTTTTAAACCATATATATATATATATAAGTATTTTTTTAAATTTTTCGTATGATGAGGCACATTATAGCCTTTATTTGTACACATTGAGCCTCAGCGCTCAATCCCTCGCCTCGGCATAAAGAATTTGCTCTAAATCATATTTCTAATGCAAAATCATTTTTATCGAGTACAGTACGTTACTTATGAACTATGAAGAGAAAATTTGTCCTAGCGTGATGACCCTTATTATTCACTTTTTTCCATTTCATTGAGTTCAAAAAATCAAATCGTTCCGTCCTCCATATATGGTAAAATTTTATTATTGACTTTGTAAAGATAGTTGTAAATAAAAATAAAATATTCAAATTTTTATTGTTCACTTAATCAGAAAAGAATTGTTCGCATAAAGCTGAACACTTCAATTAAATAAATAAAGGGATCCTTAAGAATCTTATTGTTAAGATTCCACTTGATTAATAGATACTTTGTTATTTAGGAACGTCAGCTCTTCTTCATTTGTTCGCTTTCTTAAAGTCAAAGGTTAATGAATTTAAAAGTGCAATAATTCAGCGATGAATCTTGGTCAACTTGATGATTAACCAATAATTCACTATTTTATTGCCAACAAGTTAACAGCCCTTTACGAAGTACTAATATATCTTACAACTAAGTGATATATTCCCCTTATTTTTGTTCTCCCCATGTAGAGTTTAGCACAATTATGAATAAATATTCTCCAAGTGGAATTGAATCCACAGCAACGTTGCCCTTAATTTCTATTTCTTTATCATTGTTGATATTTTTAAAAGTAAGACTTCCTCGGTCCCATAATTATTATCCAGATTAAGTTTTTATTTCTAGTTCAAATTATACTAAAATTGAAATCTCATACTGGACAATAATTTTAGGACTAATTTTGTTAGATTTAATTTCCTATTATAATCTATTCGAAATTGGAGTTTTTGTTCTTTTTCTATATTGTATCATCTGTATAACTTCATGTATGATATTCACCCGTAACAAAATGGCAAAATTTGTTCGAATGAGAAAGTGGTTTCATATAGACGCCAAAAAATTAGAGAGTGATTTATATATAAGCCAGACTTCTTTTGATTGATGTAGACTATTTTTTCTTTTCTTTTTTGCCCCCCAAAGACTTTGAAGAATTTAACATTGTACAAAGTCATATTAGTACACGTCTAAGAACTTGATAATAATTCATTTTATAAAGTAATAATGACACTGATGATTTGCAGTACAAGTATTTTTAGCACAATTATAAATTGTCTCCAAGTGGAAATCCAACCAATTTTTATAGCATTATATCATGATCATGGTAAGTGAATCGACAGCAATATAACCTTTCCCTTAATTTCTACTCTCTTTATTTTTCTTGATATTTTTAAAAATAATACATTATATTTCTGTTAGATTTGATTTCCTAATAGTTAATCTATTCGAAATTGCACTAACCAGGGATTTTTGTTTTTATTTTTTGTTCTTTTTTCTATATTGTATCATCTAAATAACTTTATGTATAATATCCACCCCTAACAAAATGGCAAAAAAAGTTGCTCGAATGAGAAAGTGGTTTGATTGATGTAGACTTTTTTCGTCTCTTCCCACAAACCCCCCAAAAGACTTTGAAGAATTTTAAGATTGTACAAAGTCAAATTGGTACACGTCTAAGAACCTGATAATAATTCATTTTATAAAAGCAATAATGACACTGATGATTTGCAGTACAAGTATTATTAAACTGACGTGGACGTAATTATTCAAAGATTCTCTAACTCTTTTACTTCCCCAATATTTTATTTACCAGTTCGAATAAAAAAACAAGTAATAGATCCAAAAACAACATGCTTGAAACCTAAGCAACACTTCTTATACTTCATGTGTCCCAATTATATTGATTTGCAATGTTTTAACTAATCGGACGTTTATTTTAGTAAAGAGTACTATAAATCACAATATGTTGAAAACCGCGTACAAGGATATTGCTTTCTTGTACATTTTCATAATATTCCCCTTGGCTGGTTGTGGATTTAAGGTCGGCTTTGTTTTTAACTCTATAATCAGCGGGTGGGAGGGGTTCAGCGTGATATGTTTGGAGTTAGGATGGAGGATAGTTATTGTATTATGAAGTTAAAAGTTTGATTTGATTTTTGTTGCGGCCTCTAATTTTAATTTTTATTTTTTAAAAAAAGACACTTTACCATCCATGACTCACGCCGGTGACTAAATTAAGGGTTATAGATCTAACAATTAATATTTCTTTGTCTAAAAAAATAATAAAAAAATAAATAGCAATCTATTATTATATCTCTTAAAAATGTGTCAGTTTTGATAGATTCACGACGTTGACAGAAAGGACCTTTTTTTTTAATAAAAAGTGGAATTCATTAAGCTGCTGGAAAACCGTCCAATACGGATTGAGTACAAAATCAGGGATGACATTCCAATACTTTTAAAAGTTAAGTTTAGCTTTGGCATATTAAGCTAAACTATGGGATACAACATTGAACTTTCGGCTAATCCATTTACATTCAAATTGGACATATTCTTGGAAACGCGTTTTGGTTTCAGCCACAATTATTCCCCAGTCTAATATGTCTGTTACTTCCGATTGTAGTCGATTAATGATTGCAAAAGAGTCGCTGATTAGGGTAAACTGTGAAAGTCCAGATGCTGCTACTAATTTGACGGCTTCCCTTGTTGCGATAGCTTCTTGCATAACAACGGACTGACAGATAGCTTCTTGAGGTCCTTGCATAACAACGGACTGTTTTCTCCAGGACGTACTGGAATTGATGTCGACTGACAGATAGCTTCTTGAGGTCGGAGTAGACTGAAATCCTGGGGGAGATTGCAGAACATTGTAGCAACTCGATACTATATACTTGCCATGAGTAGTATAATGCCATCTCCAGAAATCTTTATCTACCGTTGAGCTCAGGGGGATGCTTTCTATCGGGGTGGCTTCTTCTTGCCAGAATAGATGATTGAGTAGGCCATGGTTCCAAGTTTCTGTCTTGTTATCAATGAGGGCATCAACTGTGTCCTTTCCGGCGAATGGGGATCTGGGACTGATAATTTTGAATGAGAATGGTTTTGGAATCCAAGGATCGTTCCAGATGTCAATTGAGGTTCCTTTCCCCACTCTTTTGCGACATCCAGCTTGAAGGGTCATTCTTCCTTGAAGAATACTTCTCCAGCTGAAGCTCGGCCTTGTTCCTAGCTTGGCGTTCATGAAATCCCCATCAGGAAAATATCTACATTTCAAAACTTGGAATAGGAGAGAATGGTTGTCCGTTAAGAGACGCCAAGCTTGTTTGCCTAGAAGAGAAAGATTGAAGAGCTTCAGATTTTTGAAGCCTAATTGATGTGGACATCCTAGGTGATCAAGCTCAATGATAATTCAATGTTCAACCAAACAATCAAGTTCAAGCTCAAATAGTGATTCAAGATTCATTAGCTAATATTGGAGGTCCTATGACGAGGTCTCGAAGGAAGAGAATGAATGAATCGCTCAACAATTTGTTCATAGATGTTCAAGTTCTCAATGTGGATTCAAATCCATGGGTTTCATGCTTATCTTGGAATAGAGTTGAAGTTTTTAGTGCACGTAAAGCTCTTAGTCGAGGAGAAGAAGTGGACAACAAAGCCGACAGCATGGCGTCGAGCAAGGTGTTAGTCGACAGCAAGGTCGACAGGATTGCGTCGACCAGGATGTTGGTCGACGAGGAGGTCGACACGCGCGGGCATATTTTTCCTACTTTCTTATTTTGAGTAGGAAAGGGATTTTTCGGTCGTTTAACTCTTATGGACGACTCTTCTACACCTCTAGAAGATTATAGATGGTTTTAAATAATTGTGACATGTGCAATTATTTATTTAATTATTATTTAAATCTATATTAGGAAACTTAGGTAGACAACTCCGATTTGAACATGTATTCAGGTTTTTTTTTTGTCCAAGCCAACCTATGCCTATATAAAGGGGGCTGGTCGACCAGAACTCTTATACTATTGATAATTATTGATATTTCAATACGAGACGAGAGGAAAATCTTTGGTATTCTCTATTCATTTTGAAGATTAGTGCATTGCACACTTATTTGTGCTTTGTTGATGTGTGCGCGTGATTTTAAGTGTTCTTAATGTGTGGAGCTTTGTTAGTTTGTTCATTGGAGCCTTTTCTCTAGCTGTTTTATCCATAAATCAAAATGATAGGGTTGTTAGAGAGGAACCGATTGGGTTGCTAACCAAAACCACAATTCTTCATCTTTCGAATCTTCCATTCTTTTTGGTGCAAATTTTTCTGGTTTGCATCATTCTTCTTCTTTTCTTCTCTCTTTCTCGTGTGATTTGGAGTATTCTCCTTTGGTGTCGCAATTTATCAAGTCTTGGGAAATTCATAGCTTTCGCGTTTGAGGTAATTCAGTCATCTCACCTCAAGATTCATATCACTAATCCACCGTCTTCCTTGGGTTTGCAGAGAGCTTCCCATGTGGTCTAGTGAATACGCCTCTTCTGTTTTGAATCACCCCAGCAGAAGGCAGCGAGCAGGGCACGAATTTCGTCACAAAGGGTTTCTGGGAGTTGGAAGCAGCTCATCGCATAAGTCGGAATGGCCTGAGCGACCGACTTGATCAATACTTCTTTTTCGGCTTGTGAGAGACTTTTTTCCACGAAACCTTTGATTTTAGCACGTACCCTGTCCTTTATATCACTGAATATTTCTTTCTTTCCACGTCCCACAACCGAAGGTAAACCAAGATATATTCCATGGGACTCTGTGCGCTTTACTCCGAGCCTAGATGCTAGTTAATTAGCCACCTCGTTCGGGGTGTTTGGACTGAAAAGCACTGCAGACTTGTCTAGGTTGATTAGCTGCCCCAAAATTGATTCATGTAGATGGATTATGCTTGAAAATGCATCTATCTCTAATGTAGTTGCTCTTCCACATAACAATGTGTCATCGGCGACGAAAAGATGGGTGATGCTTTGAGCAATTAGTGCAACTTGTACACCTTTTAAGTTCCCACAACGTTGTGCTTCCTGTATCATCAAAGAAAAAACTTCCGCACAGATGATAAAAATGTCAGGGGATAAAGGGTCCCCCTGCCTTAAACCTCTTTGCGGGGTTAGTGATCCGAATTCCTGTCCATTTAGCAAGAAAGAAAAGGATGTAGAGGTGATGCATTTTTTCGATTGATGAAATGTAGGAGGAACTAAGGCCTAGGGCTCTCATAATTAGAAGGACAAACTTCCATTCTACCCTATCGAAGGTTTTGCTTATGTCTAACTTTATAGACATGAGGCCTTCTTTCCCTCCATTTTTTTTTGCAAATTTATGGTGGAATTCTTGTGCAATCAAAATATTGTCACTGATTAATCTCCCTGCCATAAAAGCAAATTGTGAATTAGAAATAACTAGAAGGAGGATTTCCTTCATTCTGTTTGCAAGACACTTTAAAAATTATTTTGTAAACAGTGCATAAAGAGATAGGCCTATATTGAGACAAAAGGAACCAAATAATATCACTTTCCAACGAAATTTGAAAGTATCGTTTCATCTCCCTTTTCAAAATATAAATTCAGATTCTATTCATAGTTCCGGTGTTTCAAATTATAAGTCAAACTTGTTCTCTTTTCATAATTTTTTAATTTTTTTTTTCAATTTATCCTTGTGTGTTTTAAATGCTACTTATTCTAATACACAATTACTTAAATTAGGTGGTTGGATTGATAATTAATTAAAGGTAAAATATAATTTTTTCATTTAATAATGATTGGTCTTTAATTCTTGTATCACTTTGGCTTATATTTTGAAAAGGAAATGGTACTCTAGTTCCACACATTCATTGTAAACCAACCTCAGTAAAGAGATTTTAATTTAATATTTATATTTGTACCCAAAAAAATAATCTTTTTCTATATTGATGATCACCAATAATATTAGTTGCGCATTAATCTAGATTCACCGAGGGAAGCCAAAATTTTCGACGGTGATATAACAGTTAGTACGTCAATGCCAAATTGCCATCATAACGAATTAACTTTATTTTTATCTAAATAATTTTGATATCGACATCAATGGTTACAAAAATTAATTAAAAATCATTGCAATTTAATTAACAATAGGTTGTTTGAGCGTATAAAAGTCGTGTATGGATTTGACACGGCTGCTTGATGGAACTTTTCCGACCACGCGATTCCAAGGGCCCATTGTATAATTGACTCGCACCATCATCTGAAGTATTTTTTTTTCCTTGAAGGAATGAAATTTTACTCTCTCCGTACTAAAATTATTGTCTAGTTTAAATTCTCACTTTTAATACAAAATGAACTAAAAATAAAAATTTAAACTGAACAATAATTATAGAACGGAAAATATATAACAGCACAGAAATAATTTTCTTCTTTTATTTTCACCGGAGAACGAAAAAAAAAGGGTCTACACCAAATAACCAGTTAAAACGACCGCAGAAATTCAAAGTGAAACTACCTCACAAAACTAATCATGGACTCTTTTCTACCAAAAATGTTTTCGCTCCAGTTCTTTTTCTTATATTAGGAAAATATTAAATTTCACTCTGGAAATTTCGTTATTTGTAAGGTTTCAAACATTTCGTATATTCAACAAAAAAAAAAAACCCCTCATACTGATTGCCCGTATCCCACTTTTTTTTATGCATTTTTTAGTTTCTAAAAGTATGTTGCATTTTAGCCAAAAAAAATAAAATAAAATAAAAATAAGTGTGGTGCATTCAAATCATAGGTCATTGGTGCATTTATATATATATATATATATATATATATATATATATATATTTTTCATATTTGCAGGGTGTCCATCGTCAGTAACAGTAACATATTCCCCTTGTTGAATTATAGGTACCTCGATGGGTGGGACAACTGGCCAAAGTATAAAGTTGCTTCATGACCATGGCTAGATTCGAACCATCGACCTATTATTAAGGGTGGACACTCCACCACGACCACTTTATTTGTGCATTTGTAGTTTTGATTAGTCTAAATTTGGAGTTCAGTAGTTGTCAGTCACTCGTTCATTTGCATGGGCTGCTCTGGGTCTCACAATGTTGTAACTCAGAATAGACATATATGGGCTATGGACATGTAGGGGTTCCTTTGGATCTTGCCCAATAACAACAATACACTGTACTAAATTATGCTGGATCAATATAAATAATAATCAAATTAATTCCTAAAAGTAGAACGCTCTGACTTCTCTCTCTAGAACGGGAGTCATCTGAAAACTCTGTAGTCCTAATAATGGATATGGAGGAGGACGCCTCAGCTCCACTGGAACATAATGATGAGAATCCGGCAACAAAAAAGATGAAAAATAGAGAAGATCCACAAACAGAAATTCCTCCAGGGCTTTCGTTTAAGGCAGCTGTCACAAAACAGCTGAATGGCAAATTCACCAGTCCTCCTAGGGAGCAAATCAAGGTGTATGATGACGAGGTAATACACGAGATTGTGGACGGGGTTGCATCTGTGAGATTCTTACCTCCGGTTCAAGTACGAATGAAGGAGGCTATGGGCTTCTCAATTGTTGTTAGCCCTCTAGGTTGTACAGTTGGGTACACAAAGCTCTACAACAGACTCAAGCTACTTTGCCAACCAAAAGGAGCAATGGAAGTAGCTGATGCTGTTAATGGGCATTACGTGGTCAGGTTGAGTGATGAAGAAGACTACAACAAAGCAATACTAAACGGCCCGTGGACAATCGGAACCGCTTATCAAACAAACTACCTTCGAGTCTGCCCATGGACTTTGAAATTCAATGCCAAAACAGAGGATTTGTCAGCGGTAGTAACGTGGATACAAATTCCAGAGCTTCCAATTCAATATTTCCACGAGGACATATTGAGGAATGTTGTCAAATCAATTGGGGTCTTCATCAAGGCGGATCAACATACCTTGGCGGTAGAAAGAGCTAAATACGCTTAGCGGTGCAATTAGATCTCACAGAGACTTTGAGGGGTATTGTGACCGTGGATAAGGTGGTCTATAAAATTGAGTATGAAGATTTACCAACAATCTGCTTTGCATCTAAAGGTTCAGAACAATGACGAGGAAGTCAACTCGGTCCAGAACAGCTCTAATGCATCTAAGGGTTTTGAAATGGGCCATCCATCCACTCAAGTTTACAAGCCCAAACAAGGGTGTACTACATACAAGAGGAAGAATGAGGCTAGGGAGACACCAGTTTATTCACCCAAGCAAGATACAAGTAAGCCCAATAGCGTAGAAGCCCAAACGGCCCCAGCCTCAACAAGCAAACATCAGATAGTTGAAAAAGAAAAAAAAGTCGAAAAACAGATGAAGCCATTGTTGACACCACCAACCATGGCCAAGCAGGGAATCAATCAAGGCATGTGATTATCTCTCAACCTATTCTAAATGGTCAAAATCACACGGTAGTACATATCCCTCACCCGGTTACAGGTTTAACGGCTTTAACTCACCGGATGTCCAAGACAAACCGTCCTCCCCCCAACTGAAAATCAAGGGATGGAACTAATACTTTCAACATCAAATCCAAATTCAAAGTCAATGGCAAAAAAGGTAAAAATAAGGAGGTTCTTATGGCGGCTCTAGAGGACCTTGAAGATTTGGATGACAACCAAACTGAGGAGCACCAGATTGAGATGGATAATAGGCGCTTCTCTGATCTGGAGGAGGAACCTCCTGATACCGCCAGGTAGATTACTAAATTCTCATACAACCATTAACTGAAAACAAGCTTATTATTTTGAGAATTTTGGTAAAACAATGAAGAACAAAGTGGAATCAGAGCTCCTATATGAGAAGGCTTGTGGTAGCAAAGCAAGATTCTTGCGGGCAATTTGGAAGACGATCTCTGTTATTGCTGAAGTTATCGTTGATTCGGTGCTTTGATGCAGATCAACAAAGGGAAACGGTTTTCTGGCTCTTCAGATTTGGTCAAAGTGGCTATTTTACTGTAAAAGGTCTTTACCATTTGTTATGTGCTAGGAAATGATGTAATTTTAGGCTTTTAGCCTCCACATATATATATATATATATATATATATATATAAAATTTAAATAACAATCCTTCCATTCCAAAATGATTATGCAGTTTAAAATTTTACCTTTAGTACAAATTGCAGTAAAATTACATACTCTCTGACTCTTTGTGTCCTAAAATTATTGTCCAATTTGGATTTCACTTTCAGTTTTTTTTTTCATAAATGAAAATTCTAACTAGACAATAATTTCAGAACAGAAGGATCCTTCAAACTGGAGAATCATTTGGAGACAAAAAGAGTACTGGTAATTAGATACTGAAAAACGTCTTATCCACTGTATTACCAATTGAAAATTGATTGATTCGTTCGACCTATTTGATTTACTAATAATATGACAGAGATGCTTGAGGATATGAAATCCTGGGTATGAATTTCATATGAATTTTGATTGCTTGGTTCAAGGATTTAAAATGATGCTGGTCCACTTAATTGGGATTCATTTCAGTTTACACTTATGGTGACTTTTTTCATACTAAACTTGATGAGAGGGTTTTAATCCTAGATGTGTATATCATAGATATTGCAAAGTCATCTAACCTAAGTGAACCAGGTGGTTTCAGTGTGGGTTTTTGGTCGGGTCCGCCTATGGGGAGAGAGAGAATGTAATTTTTCAAACCTCTGAGGGATCTTTCCGTAGTTCTCTTAAACGTTGGGTACATGATGTTAATTAACCCTATTCTTCTTCTTTTTTCAGAGAAGAAACGATGAATCAGAGGAGGGAAAATCCAAATTTCAAAACCAAACGCACTCACACACACTGAAAAGAAAAGAAATTCCCGAAAACCCCATTTTGATTTTTGCCTCTTCATCATCAGATTCTTCATGTAGTTCTGAAATTCCAAGTAACAAGCCGGAAATTCTTGTTTTGGAAATCGGAATTAGAGGAATTTCTTTGAATTTCTGAAGATATGGCCGAAGCCCTAAGTCCGACTGCGAAGCAGCGGGGCCCTTTCTCGCCGACCAGTCCGTTCTTCCTAGGTTCAAATGACGACAAACTCGAACGAGCTCAAGCTAGGGCTGCTCGTGCTGCTGCGGTCCGGCGCAAGATCTCTCCGGCAGCCGGTCTGGCCACCGACCCCACGGACAATGAATCCATCCTCGATAAGGAACAGATTCTGGAACTCTTCCAAAATTGCATCAAACTCGCCAGTGAAAACGTCGGTTCCTCACTCTCTTTTTAATTAGTGTTTGTTTGGACCATATGGTTAGTTTGGATGTCATAAAAGCTGGTTCTTTTATCTTCTTTTGTTTGCTTGTTTGTTTGTTTGTGTTGGGTGCAGAAAATTAATCAAAAGAATACGTGGGAGCTGAATTTGATTGACCATCTTTGCGAGATAATTAAAGTTGAAGAAGAGAATGATGTGGAGACCAATTTTCAAAAGGTATATCATTCTTGTGATTCAGTTAATTGCTACTCTGAGTGTGTGTGTGTGTGTGTGTGTGTGTGTGTGTGTTTGTGGTTGTGTGTTTGCTTTGGGTGGGGGGATCTGTAGTATCTAAGAAGTAAGATATTGCTACACCAAGGAAAAGAATGCTAAAAAGGGAAGTTTTTTTCCCACTTTATTGATGCAAAGCTTGTGTTTGTTAAAAGAGGATTAAAGATTAAGTACACACAAAACTTTGCTGCACAGGAATTTATTTTGCCTTTGTAAGGTCAACCAAAATTACGCCTCTTTCATGTCTTTCGGTAAGAAAGCTATTTATGTCGATGTCAATGGCCATTATGCTATGAAGTTACTGGTTCCTTATTGCTTAGTCATTTTTTATAGCTATTCTATGATTTCTAGGCGAGTTGTACCCTTGAAGCTGGAGTTAAGATCTATTCAATGAGGGTGGATTCTGTGCACTCAGAGGCCTACAAGGTTCTAGGAGGAATTAATCGCGTTGGCCAGGAGAATGAACAAGGTAATGCATTTGTTGGTTACTGCAATATATTTAATTCCTCCTTCAAAGAGAAAAGACCATTGTTCCCCTGCCTACCAATCAGGATCATCTAAGTCTATAATTGTGCTAGCCGAAACACACTAGTTAAGAGACCTATATTATTTTGTATTTCTCAGTTCCGTTAGATGGGAGGTCTAAATGTTGTAAAGCCTGAGTGAACAAAGAGATCTTTGCAATACCATGTCAACTATTATGGGAACTGATTTCTTTACTTCTCTTTGTCCTTCACTTTCAAAGCATTAATCGAACGATCAAAATTCTCTTTTGTTTTGGATTGCTTACGCATCTAACTTACCTTTGTCTTTTTCGATTTAATAATTGAAAGCTTATATTCAGCTTTATATTGAACGGTTGATTTGTAATCATTCTTTTTTTTATTCAACTTTATTTTTTTCAAGTTTACTTCATTTTGTGGCCATGTCGCAGAACTCACTGTAACAATTCGAGATAACACACAAACTTTGAGTTAGCCTATCTTCGCGTTTCTCGTGTTATCACATAAACAAATTGGTTACAGGATCTATGTCTATTTTGATGATGGGGTATTTTGTATGGAGAGCAAAATGATGGGGTACTATTCATCCAAATTTAAAATTCATTTTGCAAAGCGGTTTGGTCCTTTAGTAGACTGGTTTCCCTTTAAGTTTGTGAATCAGCATTTCTCATGAGTTGCTTCATTTTATTTCATTATTTTAGTCATTAATGATTTGGTCCCAATTGCAGATGGGTCATTGGAAGATTTTAATGACTGTAATAGGCAAGAAGAAAGTCAATCAAAGAAAGAACCAGAGAGAAAGGTTAACGGTTTTCTTTTCTAAAGCATTGTTTCAATGTTATGATATTATATTCATAGTTCTGATAGTTCTGAAATCATATCTGAATGGTGTAGGTGTCACCTCTGTCAACATTAGAGTCATCGTTCGAAGCATTAAATGTAAAGAAGTTTGATGGTGAGTGTTTTCCTCATTAAATACTGAAGAAATTCTGTGTCACATTAGCATGATTGATTTTGCCTTTCCTGCAGTGGCCTTTGCTGTGGATCCTCTTTACCATCAGACGTCTGCACAGTTTGATGAAGGTGGAGCAAAGGGTCTTCTGTTGAACAACCTTGGAGTATATGGTAATTGCATGGTCCTTTTCGATTCACTGGAATTACCTGGGAAGTGCATATCACCTTCAACTGAACCTGATAGATCCGAAATGATTGATGTACCTTTTCTGAGAGGTATGTTCGCTTGTAACGTATGAACTCCTGATTGTGTGGGTTTTTTTTAGTTGTATATAGAAAGAATAAGGAATTCACTTTTGTTTTTATTTGCACAGAGAGCATACAACAGATGGCCATGGACATGCCTAACAAAGAAGATATCTCTCCCAGTCTTAAGGATATAGTTAATCTTTTTGATGAGGATGATAGAAGACCTTCTGGACCATATCCTTCGGGAGAAAATTTATCTGAACAAGTTCCTGGAACTGAGGAGAATGATTTTGAGATGGAAAATGATGTGTTTGATAATTCCGGAACTTGGGATTTTGGTCAAGATGAACAACCAGAAATTGTGGATGAGAGCAGCTATGGAGTGGACCCAAATTTACCTAACCAACAAGAGGTACAAAATTCTGCTTCATTTTACCTGGCTGATTGAATTGTATGTAAACAAATTGCAAGTTGCAGATAATACTTGCTTAATTTTGCAGGATGTTGAACCATCCATGACTTATGAATGGAATGTGGATGACAGATTTGAGAAAATCGATGATTATCTGTTTTTAAGCTTGGGATTTTCTTCAAAGCAAAATGCTTGGGCTGGTCCAGATCATTGGAAGTATCGGAAGGCCAGAGGTAAATGTTCATAAGCTTCAGTAACCTTCATGTTGTGCATTTGGTTCTGACACCATGAAATTTCAGAGGTTCCTGTGAATGAAAATGCGCTGCCTTTGAAGACAAAGAAATCAAAGAGTAAAAAAGCTGAATCTGATATTGATTTTACAAAAGCCTTGGGCACAGACATGTCCAATGTCTTTGCTCCCCCCAAAAATCTCAAGTCAATATTAATGCCTCCAAGCAGAGCACCTAGTGCCACTAGACTTCCAGAAGATTGCCACTATCAGCCAGAAGATCTTGTAAAACTATTCCTTCTGCCGAATATAATGGTATAGTAACTTATAGATGTAAACTGCATTGCATGTTGACATCCCTTGACCCTGTTTCTGATTCATTTGTTTTGTTCTTATCCTAGTGCCTAGGGAGGAGACGAAGGAGGGTTCCTGGTGAGTTTCATCCTAGAGTAAATGTTAATCCTTTGTCAGTTTAAGTGCATTCCTATGCCACTGTTGTCTTTATACATTTGATACAACTGCACAGTAATTCAAAATAATCTTTTGCTCAGCCCGGAGAGGTTGACTTTACCCGTATCTTTAACTCACAATTCATATCTGGTGTTGTTGGTTAGATGCTTCGGGTCCACAAAGTGATGATTATGGATCGATGCCTCCATGGGATGATGAGAATGCTTTTGATGGTTCTTTGGATAATGAAAATGCTTATAGTGACAATGAAGATTTGAGCAATCTTGTCTCCCAGCCTCGACAGGTTTACTTTATCCATATTCTCAATTTTTACTGACATTTGAGCCCTTAATATTGAGTGGTGAACACCTTCATTGCTTTATTTCCTATGTGCTAATTCTGCGCTACTGCATATAATCAAACGAATAATGAACAGTAAACAATTGTCATCAATTTGTTCTCTTCTATATTTAGCTCATCAATGAGTCATCTTAATTTTTTAACGATTGTTCATCACATTGTAAAATTATTTGTGGGAAGTGGTATTATGAGAAATCCTCATAGAAAGAATAGCTCTGATGATGATTCTGGTTTTAGTTTGTTCAATGCGCTACAACACCAACATATTGTCTTGTTCAAACTCTTATTAAATATTTGGTTTTAGCATTCATATACTTCACCTTGGACATTCAGATTTGAGCTTCTTCATACCACTGCATTCTATTTTCTGTGTAAAATGTTGAGAAGAGGAATACAAATAACAGGCTGGAGCGGAATTTTCCATTTATATTTCAACATGGTGGCTAAATGTGAAAAAAACATAAATAGGATAAACAAAGTTTGAAATTTAGACCACAGTTTACCTATGCAACCCATTTCTTTATCAAATATTGCTGGTGCTACTTTTAGCAGTTTACTTCAGTAGAAAAGGCCTACCAGTTGTTTGGAAACTAATATTTCAGAAAATATTATACTTGTCGAATTTACTCATGGCAACCACATAAAAAGGTAGCTCAGGTACATGTAGAAAGATTGAGGGGTTTGTGATAAAATCTATGCATGAGACAGGAAAATGGCAAGTTCTGACGACTGTTTAGTCATTGTAATTACTGGGCTGTTTTAGTACTATAAAGTTGCTCGTTTTCTAAACATTGCTTGCCCATTGTAACATTTTCTCTTTGAATGTCATTGTCTTTGTTTAATAATATATTGTTCTTCCAACAGGTAAACAAGATTGAAGTCCAGTATGACAAAACATCAAAACAGGTTGATGTTCAGTCACTTAAGGAAACTCTATGGAATTATATCAGAGGGTCAAATGTGGCAGTAGTACAGGTGATTTCATATTTTTCTGACAGCATTTCCACTTTGATATATAGTCTACGCTCTCATGTTTCCAACTATTTTCTGGACAATGCAAATGCAAGCATGTTACACATGTAAGCGGGATAAGTGTCGAGTTTTTTGTTTTTACATTTGGAGGTTCGTGATTTGGAGTGATGTAGTGATTAATGATGACTTTGTTGCCACAAGCATTGTTCTTTGGAAGACCTGAGTGTAAAGAAATGAGCTTAAATAGAAAACTTCTGCCATCTCCATGCCCTCCTATCTGAAACAAAGCTATATATTACTGCATGAAGCAAACGGCTGACATAGCTAGCACTGTTTAAAGTGAATCTTCAAGTTGCTTGCTTTTGCAATTCTGTTTGCATTTTGTTCTGTTGAATAGTTACAATGTCCAAATAACAGATTTGTGCTCTACCTCGGCTAAGGATAATCAGACAACATTATTTGTTTTGTAGGATAATGTACAAGAGGAAGTATCATTTAAGCAAGCACTGGCAGAGTTTCCATATGATTGCACAGCCGCATCGTCTCTTCAAGACATATCTCCTCATCTGTGCTTCATATGCTTATTACACCTTGCAAATGAGCACGGATTACGAATTCAAGGTTGTGCTAACCTGGATGATCTGACCATACACTTCTAGCTTCATGGTCCATCGGTTTATAAACTGCACTTCCTTGTTCCTACTTCCTAGCGCTGTACGAATGCATCTGCATCCACATTATCTTGATGTGTGTATCATTCTCATGTGGTTCGTCTTAATATATTTCCTTGGGTGATTAACATGTGTTAGATTAAAGAGATAGACAAGTTTTTTGTGTCCTCTGGAAGGTTCACTGTCATGTAACAGTACTTTTGTGGCTTGGGATTGTATTAGACTATTAGGAGGGGTAGCTCGTAGCCCTGGAGGAGGGGTAGCTCGTAGCCCTGGAAAGGCCACAAACAGAATTCAAAAGAAATCATTTTAATGATTCTGCAAGTGATCTTTTGTTCAATTTGCTCTGATATTTTAATTTAAAATCAATGTAATTACCTTCTCGAAACTATTTTAGATTACCTTTCCGTGTAGTATATCAATTTTCATACTCTAATTTTGTTAAATAAAGTTTATAGATTTTCATTTTAGGATGATCTCATTCCCATTACGCTTTAATTTTTTTTTTTTTTGGGGGGTAAATAATGTGTACTATAGTGTCCTGTCAAAACTCTTAAGTGTTTGATTGGCTTACAGCCATGGGTCACATGCATACTTGTATCAACGATTTCAAGCATACGTCTCCACCAAAATTTCTTCATAAATGATTTGTTGTAAAACTTTGATTTGATTCTTCAACGCTTTTGTTTTCCTTTGGTGTGTATCACGTGGGATAATATGTTTTTTGTTTTTTTTTGGAAGTTTGGAATTATATGTTCAAACAAGAGAAAAACCCAACCCAATGAAGCTGATAGGTGATGAATTATTAAAAAAAAATTTCTGTTTCTTTTTTTTTTAATGCATTTAATTCCAGAGTACACTTTAATTTCTCCTACATTTGAGCAACATCTTGAAATCAGATGGTCCATACATTATTTCTTTTCCCTTTTTATTTTGTCTGTATAATGTGCTACGAGAAAAATCCAGACAGAAAAAGTGTTATGGTCGCATCTAGAGCTTGATTGCTACCAATCATGCAACGCTGCAGCTAGAAATGTCATCTCTCAATTTTAAGCCTATACATTTTCATGATATTATTGTCTCGATTAATTTATAGTCGCATGAGATAGGTTGATTTTGTTTGAAAAATAATTTTTTCTAACAAATATTTTAATCATTATTATTGCATGAACATGTCCGAATTTTCTTCCAATGAAAAGTCGAAAACAAAAACTTCAAGTTGACTAAACCGAAAATTCATATTTTGTCACAACTTTTCGTAGTCACTGTTAAAAAATCAAAGAATCGAGTAGTGTGTGTAGCAGTTTATTGACGACCAAACTAAAGGGTGAAACCTTTTTTTTTTCACCCTAAAATAATAAAAATAATTTATTCCAATTAACTTTGAATATTTGATTTTGCACATTTAAACAAATATTCATGACTCATGAGCTTGAAGCATCCATACACAAGTCAACCATTTAAACAAACAATTTTAATAATCATCAAACTTACATATTCATTTTAACACAATGTTATTTCATGACCAATGATGGGAAGACTGAAGAGTGGACTAAAGTCTTAAGGTTAAAAAAAAAAAAGAAGGAAAGATCATATGAAAATAACCTACAATTTTCATTCTCAACTTAAACACTAATATGAGCACGTGATATTTTTTCTTATTTAAAAAAAAAAAAGAAGAAGGGAGAAATGAAAAGAAAATAACAAATTCAGGTACAAAAATATCTACTCAAATTACGTTCCATTCAAACACCAAAAAAACACACACACACACACACAAATAAACTCATACACATTTGGAAGGAATCAAAAAGCCATTTTTAGGAACTAACATTATGGCTGCCCTGATGGCAAGAATGACCGGACCCTCACCGCCGGGAATATCATCATCACCACCGTCCACATCACCGCCTGCAGCATCACAACCACCCAACTCTCTCCCCGTCCGGACAATCCCCGGCAGCTACGGGTGGCCGTTGCTGGGCCCGATTTCCGACAGGCTAGACTACTTCTGGTTCCAAGGCCCGGAGACATTCTTCAGGAAAAGGATCGAAAAGCACAAGAGCACGGTTTTCCGGACCAACGTGCCGCCGACATTCCCCTGGTTTGTGGGTGTGAACCCGAATGTGGTTGCGGTTCTTGACGTCAAATCTTTCTCTCATTTGTTTGATATGGAGATTGTGGAGAAAACCGATGTTCTTGTCGGGGATTTCATGCCCAGTACTAAGTTCACCGGTGATTTGAGAGTTTGTGCTTATCTTGATACTTCTGAAACTAAGCATACTCAGGTCAGTTATACGTTTTTCTTTTTTAATTACTCTCTTCTCTTCGTCCCATAAAAATTACTTTCTCCGACACGGTTTATTCTACTTGTATTTAACCATATTATCAAACGTATTACTCATCTTTTTGTATTTATATTTTGGAGTTGTCAAAATGCAATCTTAAAAATTTTCTTCCTTTATTTTTATTTCTGATACAGTTTTCAATATTCGTAAGTTACATACGAAAGTAAAAGAAATGAAAATATCGTTATACATGCTGTGAGCTTCTAGAAACAATGATATTCATAGCTGGAGAAGTTAAATTTACAAATGAATTATTTTAAAGTTTCCACCCGTCATTTTAATAGATTTTCCCTCCAGAAATACATTTTTCTTCCCAGTTAAAATAAAATAAGATGGTCTGCTTCAATTTAACACCTCCCATAACACTTCTTTGGTCCCCAAAAAATATCACCCGTAGCTGTCACAACTCACAATAACTGATAGAACATTCGGGAAAAACGACGATCCTTCTAAGCCACAAAGTTAAGTGCAATTTCGATAAGGTGCGAATTTTTGTCATTCGTAAGAATTTGTCAATGTGAATTTATTTAAAATGGAGCCTCTAGCTAATCATTGACAAGGTTTTGTTTTCCAGTGATTTTCCAATAAAATATTTTCTATATCGTAAAACTAGATATAAATTTTTGAAAAAAAAAATTATAGTAACGAATAATGATATAGGAACTCATTAATTATTATAAATATATTTTGGGCGCTTTTAGGTGAGAAAGTTTGGTGAAATGATTATTAATTTAGGTTGGAAATTAATATCATGAGGTCCAAGATGCAAATCTTGTTGAGATAATTTCATTTTTTTAAGGTAGAGATTTAAATGGGTAGGAGATGGAAACAATGGGTATGAGAAGGTTAATAGAAATATTATTTTTTTAAAAAAAAAAATTGAACTACCTAACTACCCTCTACATAAAAGAGCTCCCAAAACTTTCACGGTTGAGTACCAAATAAAAAAGGTGAAATTATTCTTATATTTAATGTTATTTATGATATTGTCAATTTAATAAAGAGAAATATGGTATGGTATTTGAGTTTAACAAATGAAAAATGTAGACACCCGGTAATATATAAAAAAAAAGAAGGAAAATGTAAAAGCATATCTCCAATTTGTGTAACTAGATCCAAGATCATTCCAACATCAAAATATATACTCACTCCTTTATGAAATTATTATACAATTTGGATTTTCATTTTAGCATAAACTAAAATTAAAAATTCAAACTGAATAATAATTTTGGGATGGAGGGAGTATTAATATTTCTGATCAATTGCACCTGATAAGAGAATCGATTTTCAAAACTCACGATTACAATCTCCATTCCATTCTTGATCATGTTACTTTAAAACTCTGTTTCTTATTGTTGTTGTTCCTTTTTTTTTTTTTTTTTGAGTGATGTTATATATTATAATGCATAATTTTTCTCTTTTGCCACCCTCCTAATATGAGAACAGCTCAAGAAGTTTGCAATGGACATACTAAAAAGAAGCTCATCTAAATGGGTGCAAACAATGGTGAGCAAGCTGGATATCATGTGGGCAAAAATAGAATCAGAGCTCTCCAAACCTAACCCCGGAACATATATCCCTACCCTCCAACAATTCCTCTTTGAATTCCTCAGCATTTGCATTGTTGGAGCTGACCCTTCCACCTCGCCGGAGCTCTCGAAAAACGGCTTCTTCTACCTCGATACATGGCTCGCTCTTCAGCTTCTTCCCATCACATACACTGGCAGTTTCGGACAACCCCTCGCAGAACTCACTGTTCACTCTTTCCCATTGCCTTTCTGGCTTGCTCAAGGTGGCTACAACAAGCTGGTGGAATTCGTCGAAAAGGAAGGGAAAGAAGCCATTCAAATAGGTCAAAATGAGTTTGGTCTCACCCCAAATGAAGCTGTTCATAACCTTCTATTCATTCTAGGGTTCAATGCATATGGTGGTTTCTCTGTATTCTTCCTTAGCCTTTTCAATGCACTCGGGGATGAGAAAAACAAAGGGGTTCTAGAAAAGATCAAGAATGAAGTCAGAGAAAAAGTTGGGACTGATTCATCAAAGCTAAGCTTTGAGAGCATCAAGGAAATGGAGCTGGTACAATCCTTTGTGTATGAAACTCTGAGATTGAACCCTCCTGTTCCTCTGCAATATGCTAGGGCTAGGAAAGATTTCAAGCTCGCTTCACACGACTCCGTCTTTGAGATCAAGAAAGGTGAGCTTCTGTGTGGATATCAAGCATTGGTAATGAGGGATTCCGAGGTGTTTGATGATCCTGAAAGCTTTGAAGCGGAGAGATTTACCAAAGAAAAGGGTAAGGAGTTATTGAACTATCTGTTTTGGTCAAATGGACCTCAGACTGGGACACCAAGTCATTCTAATAAGCAATGTGCTGCTAAAGATGTTGTCACTCTTACTGCAAGTTTGTTTTTGGCTAACCTCTTTCAGAGGTATGATTCAATCACCATTTCTTCCGGGTCGATCACCGCTGTAGAAAGGGTAGCTAAGTAGAGTGAGTGTAAGAGGATCTATGGAGATTTTTCTTTTTTTCTTTTTTTTTTTACAACCTTATACAATAATCATCATCATTTATATGTATATGTATATAAAGTGATGGATTCTGAGACCGACATTTTTCAGTGGAATCGAATAAATGAAAAATGATACGATGAACATTGCAGAAGAAATAGGACATGTGTTTTCATTTAGCTTTGTTTGTTGTTGCTATTCATAAATGTCTAGAATTCACATACGTCTACTAAACCAATTTGATAACCATTTTTAACTCTTTATCCCCGAGTCAATTAGAGCTTCGATCTAAATACTAGTGGAGTTTTCCATCCCAAAGTATAACAAACGAAACTTGTATTTTGAGATGAATGGAGTATGATTTTCCTTGAACAAGAGTGGTGCATGAGCAATAAATCATGAATGACGAACATGAGATGAAAAAAGATGTGAAAATGACAATGACTATAGAATAATACGCTTCTTGGAGTCAAAAAGGTAACCAAAGCATAGGAGAAAAAGGTAACAAACCCAGTGAATCGATAATGTCACTGTATAAATCGATTCCACGGTTTACAAAGTGGGAAAGTTCTAAGCATTAACTTGTCAATCATTATATGTATGTGGAAACATTCAATGAACTTACCATGTGGAAACGAATAAGGCTTTGCTTTACAGCATAAGGAATGTGTACGCTACAAAAACACCAATATATCACTACTGCGAGTATGGCTTGTGAACATGTGCTACCAGTTTCAGGGCACGGGGAAACTTATAAACCAAAAATGCTTTGAGCTCTGGTTTACGGTTACCAAATCACAGGAAGATGAATGTCTTACATGGGCTATGCATGATCATGAAGACTTGGAAGCCCCTTCTTTCCATCCTTTCTGACGAGCTCTCATCTCCCACATGGCGGTCAGTTTCTTCTGTGACACTAAAGCCTCTTCGGCCTTTTCCCTTGCCAATTCACAAGTTTCCATACCTGAATTGCATTTATCAGCCTCTTTTTGATATGAAGAGGTCATCTTCTTTGCTTCGAGCAATTGGATATCAGCCCTTTGCTGGTTTTCCAAAGCTTCGGCTTCTCGAAGCTTCAGCTCCTCTGACAATAGTTCTATGAAGTTTTTCTCTGTCTCTTCGCTTACATCTGGATCATGCTTCGCACAATCTGCGTTTCAATATAAACGATGTAGATTTCTCAAAATGATAATCACGAAGGTTTAACATATAACAAGTCCATATTGTAATTCATGTCTGTCTGCCACTAGAATAATTCGGAATGGAGCCAGACAGACAACTGAGTACATTATTCAGTAAGAACTAGTGACGTTAATCACGCAACAATTCTACACACTAAGACAGAAAAAGGAACATCTCAAACCAAAAAGTCATTCAACAACCACATATCCATTCTGTAATGAGTCCGAGAGATCATTTGGTTCCTTTTTCACAAAAAAACTTGGCTCTGAAAATTATTTCCTTGAGCAATGTTGTAATTCTCTTTTTGATAAACTATCTTTCAATGTCTTTAAAATTCTCAATGTATGTTGGTGGCTTTCAGATTTACCCTTTTCATTAACATGATTGTTAGAAATCGCAAATCCTCCTTTCACTCTAATTAAAGGTTGACTAATGTCATTTTTATTGGACTGCTAGTAGACAGACAGCGTAAATCCAGATGGAAGGAATAAACAGATACTTGCGGTTCTGTTTAAGTGATAGAGGGCATGGAATCCCAGGAGTGCTATTCTTGCTCTTGCAAGGGACATTTTAGAGGACTGTCTTTTGCTATCTATGCCCTTCCACGCAAATGCTTGTACCCTAAAAACTGTATTAAATTGTTACTCTTACTTTAAGTGCTCATTTTTTACTCAAAAAAAGTTTCAAAAAGCCCCACTCTAAAAGACACTTCATTACTTACATCGAGACCCAAAAACAGAAAAATGACTGAATCGTGATGTACTCTCTTGTTCTGACACTGGTTCTTAAAAGAAATGGAGAATATCCACAGTGAAGTAAAAAATGTCCTCCAAATGATTTGAGTAGACGGAAAATAAGTTGATATAGACAATAATCTGTTATAAAAGAAAAAATAAAAAATACATAAAAGAAGGGATAGAAGCACTAACCTGCAAAAGTATTATTGCTCAAACCTGCAAAAAGTAAACACAAATTTGTATTAGGTAAAAAAAAAAAAAAAAAACTGTAAATACAGGCTAAAAGAAGTTTCTCAAGATTAACGATGTCAGAATAGAATCTTAATTTCACTAGGCTCGACACCAACGGAAGAAAAAAACACTATTCAAGGAGTCCAATGCTCAAGCCTAATACACAGTGTATACTGCTATTACACTGATCTATTAAAATTGGAATTAGCAAGAAGAGAGTAAGAGTACGTCTTCTAAGATAACCAAGGAAAAAAAGTTTATCATTCGGTCATGATGTGAATCAATACTATCGATTTTCATACATTTTTAGTCATTTTGCTTGCAACTTCAAACCTCCCTGCATCAGTTTGAAAAGAAAGTCTAGGACACTTGAGCATGAGCAGAATCGAGACTGCAATTTTGATATATTGTCAGGCTTAATGAATGTCTAAGTAAGGGGAAGAACATAAATAACTGTAGTTTCTTTCCTGCCCGTAAACCATCCTTTAATGTAATAGTTGAAAACCATCAGAAGTAAAAAGTAAAATCTCATGTGCAGCAGTGGAATGAGAAAGACCCACCCACTTTAATATTCTTAACTTCTGCTACTGGCAGGTAGAGCTCTTATTGGTTGTGGAGCACTAAAACAATAAAACTAGGGCTATGCATTTTGGAGCAATATGGATCATATGTATCCATAGTGTTCTTGAAAAATTCATTTAAGAGTGTATTTGGGTTTCGTATTGCTTTTTTAGTTAGATTTGAGAGTTTTCACTTTTCTTTTTTCACTCCTTACTGGTGCATCTAACAGCTGCTATACACATGGGAACGTTCCTTATGCACATTTCAATCCTTTAATCATCTAATAGACTAACTCCACTTCTCCTAATTCATTCACTAATTATTCTATCTGGTGTAGCTCTCCAAACATTCATCTTAACATTCTCAATCCTAACTTAATTTGTTAATATTAAACTTATAACCAACGGCAAGTAATACCTAAATAAGTTGACATATATGCATGTCCTATTTTTTTGGCAAACAGAACCTAAATACTTGATAGTGACACAAATCACCAGAAAAGATCTTCCTACATCAGCCATCTCTAATTTAGAATCTCTTTTCCGGTTTGCTTGTGCGGAGAAATATTGGTGAGGCGTGAATTTGTTTAAATAATTTTGAGAACAAGGGCAACAGCGATGCACAGAGCTGGTTTGACGATTAATTATCTACAAGAACTTGGTAAATGAAGTAACCTCAATCTCCCTAACTCTTCATTACCTATAAATCTAAGCATTTTACGGTAAGCAAATCTCTCGTCTAAAGCATTAGTGAGTTACAACTTTCTCCAACATATTATCCTATCAGATTCCCTGTTGATATATTCTAGAACAAGATAATAGATCCTCTACAGAACAAGATTGTCTATCATTAGTGCAATACAATGCAAGAAGAAAGGCCTTCATTTAAGCCCAGTCCTGGAAGCCACATTCAAGATGTTGAGTGTAACCCCGATAAAAAGGAACTGAAGGTATTTCCGGCAAATGATCCTGGATATGCACGAATAACTACCATAGCACAGTAGCAAGTTAAATGGGACCAGCTGTGCACATGATACTATGCAACCAAGAACATGTTACTCCTACTACTTGACGAAAGTAAATGAATTCAGTAGGCAAGTAATTTGTCAGAGCACTTAAACTAAAGTTTGAGTTGGTTCACAAAAGTCAGCGTTCAAGTAATTGGTGGATTCTCCCCTTGCCAACACTTAGGCAATTTAGTGAAAGGGAAAAAGTAAGTATACATATGAATGAAATAGGTGTAACAATTAAATAGGCAGGCCAGTATTTTGATAAGTTTAGCAAGATAAGAAAGAATGTTCTCCACACCCCTTTGAAGACATCTAAGAAACCATAGGATATATAAAAGTTCAGTAACAAAACACTCCTAGAAAACCAATGAACGAGCACCATCAAAACATCAATCCTAGACAAAGACACATGTCTGACGGAATATTAAATTTTTTTTCACTAGTTAAGGATCTTAAGGTCATTAAGAAAGTTCATAATATAATAGGCAGTCATGAGCCATCAGCATAGCTATCAAGGTGTTGAAACAAGCATTTCCCCCTTCATTTCCAAAGCAGTTCAATATACAAAACTAGAGTCATGATACCAAAAACTAATACTAAACACAGTCAATTCATCAAGGATGAACTTTAGGGCAGGGACTAATACTTGATCAACTGAACTGAAATTACAAAAGCATTCCAATACTCGATAAGCAGACCAAGCAATTAGAAGATCTAGCCAGATCCCAAAAAAAAAAAAAAAAAGGAAGAAAAACAAGGGCAAAGAAATGGTACCAATGGGAATGGAGGGAAGAGATTGAAAAGAGCAATCACAGTCACAAGGCGGGCAATTGAGGGCAGAGGAAGATGATGAAGATGAACTCCGGCTCACTGCTGCTAAGCCTTCCATAAAATGCCAATACAATGGTGGCCCAACAATATATGCTGCCAAACAAATCGCCATCAATCCGAATCCAGCTTTCAAGATTCTTGGATTACATGAAGCTCCACCATGATTTAGAGCCATTTTGTCTCTCTCTCTCTGTTCAAGGTTTTCTCCTCAAAGAGGGATCTCTTTTACAACTGGGTTTTTTCCAGTCAGGAATTTTGTTGGGTTTTTCGTGGAATTTTCGAAGAAAAATTTTACAAATACAATTTGCGGGATCAAGGATGTCAAATGGGAACGAAATGGAACCCCTTTTTTCCCATGTATTTGTCAACCCTGTCCTCTTCTTCTGTTACTGCCGACACTGAACAAACCAGCTGAGATTCTTCTTCTTGGTAGTCTGTGCTTTTTCAAATGAAGTCCTCAAACTTTTGTTTTCTTTGCAAAAAAAGCCTTCATCTATCCTTTTATCCCGTTTTAGCCTGGATATTATTCATGCAGTTTCTTCATATGTATTAATTATTATGTATAATTTTTTCTTCAAGAAAAAAAGATAATAATGTCTAAACTAACACTGCTAGGACCTATAGAAGAAAGGATAAATAATGAGACAAGCTTGAGCCTCTTGCTAAAACGCTCCGTACTTTTAAAGACAATTGAATAAAGAGGAAATGATAAAATTAACTAGACTTTACACGTATGTCTCTTATTCAGACTTTCGATACTTTTAATGATAACGTATTATATGTTTATTTATGTTTTCAGTTAATCATGAGGTATTGTAACAAGGAGGTTTACAAAATGTTTTCAAAGTGTTTTCAGCTTACATAGAGCTTATTTTGGATAATTTTATTAAAGAAAATGTTATCTAAATGTTTTACATTAATCTTGCAAAAGAATTTTAATATTTTCGAGTAGTATGTATTAGAATGTGGCTACTGTAAGTACTCTTCCTTTTACAGTGTAAATGACATATTATCATTTAATTTGTGAACATGGATTCATGTTCACAAATGATCAGGCCAAAAGTTTGTTTCAGTTCCTAATTTTTGTTTTGGCATTATGAAATTTTTTTTTTTCAATACAATAAAAAGAGACATAATACTTAAAACACCAAAATTACAATTGACCATGGATTTCCTTTTTCAGAAGTGCATGAGTCCCAATGTATTGACACTTGAGGTTGAACATGTAAGTAGTTTTTTTTTTATTGAGTTTAATATATCTTTTACCCAACAAAACATCATTATCCCTCAAGTTACATCTATATATATATATATGTATATATCTACATCTACATCTACATATATATAGAAAGGAATCCCCTTTTGTTGCACGGTTAAACTTATCCGCATAAACTTACATGCATCAATGAAAGAGAAATAAAATTAATCATTCAAATTAACTCACTTTGAACCCTTGGATTTCTTTCCCTTAGAACTCCAACCCTAAGTTCTCTCTGCTATTCTATCGGCCGACGAATAACAAAGCCACATAAATTGACAGAAAAATAAACAGGAAGTAGAATACATGCGGCGACCAAAATAGATCCGGTGATTTCAAAAATTAAAAACCCACTAACCTTTTGGATGTGGATGGATAGCTGATGAAAAACCCAGGAGGAAAACTGGCAAGTTCTATTCTGTTTTCCCAGAATGAAATAATGCGGCCAAACTTTTGTTAAGAAAGAGGAAGAGAGAATCGGCAACGGAGAGCAGAAGTTTCTCATAGAAAGGCCGGGCAAAGAGAAAAAACGAAGCGGTCCAATGCCAAGTGGCCACGTCAGCTTAGAAGGGAATCCCCTTTTTGTTGCATGGTTAAAGGGTCCCGGTGAAAAAAGCTGAAGTAGCTAGAGTGGAAGGCTAGTATTAGTTTGTAGGAATAATAAACTTAGGTAGTGAGCCATGAGAGTAGGAACACCACCTTTGTGACTAGTAATTCCAAAGTTCTTAATGTGCTTTTATTAATCCCTATAGTCACGAGAGTAGTCATAGGGTTAATTTGAGTAAGAGGGTTATGACACGAGAGTATATAATTCTTAAATTGGTGAATTGTCGTAAGATTAATGAGAGTCGAAAATCACATATCTATAGATTAAATTAAACTGAATAGCCGGTTGGTGAATCCTTTGCCCTAGGTTTTTCTTTTACTTATTTATATCTTTAAATAATTACAATTGTTAGTTTTAGGTTTAGAATAGTTTAAAATTGATAAATTGTTAATCTAAATGATAATAAGAAATAATTTTAACCTGGTACTTGGTAACCTTCTTTGTGGGATCGACCCTACTTGCTACTTTACTACTAGTAATTTTATTAAGTAGGTAATTAATATTTGACTAGTGTAACGACGGCTGGTCAATTTGGCGCCGTTGCCGGAAAAGGCATAACCAATATCAAAACTAGACTATTTCTTTTATTAATTTAGATTTGTATATAGTTTCCTTTGTTTTATTAATTTATTATTTTTATTTTTATTTTTATTTTTATTCTCTTTTCTTTCTTGGGTCAATATTTTTGTAGGATATTTGAGCTATTATGGAGAATTTTAACTATGGATATAGAGAGACTCCGTATTATGGTTATGATTCTGAATATGGAGACTATCTTACATATCAAGAAGATCCGTACTCTTGGAACTATTCGTCTTCTGATCCTTACTATGGTTGTAATTATCAAGGGTATTCATTTGATACTGGGTACAATTCTGGTTTTGAGAGCTCGTATATGAGTCCTAAGATATTGTCATGTTTGGAGAGAATTGATAAATTGCTGGATGACATCAAGAAGAAAAATGCTTCATATTTCTCTCAAGAGGATTGTTACCACTCAAATGCATCAATATATCAACCACCACCTCCTCAACCCACTCTAAGAGAGTTAGCAGCTCGTCAACCTACTCTAAGAGAGTTAGCAGCTCGTCAACCTACTCTAAGAGAGCTAGCAGCCTTACAATCATCACCTTGTCAACCCACTTTGTGACAGTTAGGATCTTTGTATCAGCAGCCACCAGCTCAACCTCAACTTATCGAGATTTTCAAAGTGAAAAAGGCCAACAACTTATCGAAGAGGTCAATCAATATAGGATGAGTGTGGGGTTGGAGGAATATGATCCTATAGGAAATTTGCTTAAATTGAATAAAAATGGGAAGATTTCTGAAGATAATTCATTGGTCCTGTCTCCCCATCCACCATCTTAAATTGAGCTTGAATGTGAAGAATTAGAAGAGACCGAAGAGATTAACAGTCCAGATATTCCAAGTTTTCCTAATTCTTCTGGTATATACATAGTAGTTAAGCATGATTCGCTCATTCTGAGAGTTGGTGACAAAAATGTGGATCAAATTGATTTTGATGAGAATAACATTCCTATAGTTTCAAAAGAAGGGTTTGAAGTACACACATGTGGTGAGGTTGTCCCTAATATAAGAGATGTTGAGGATGATGTGAACGTTGATTCAATGGAAAACCAAGGAGAGGATCAATGGTACAAGATTGAATTTGAGAAAGAGGATATAGTGGTCTTAGAGTATAAGTTTATATTTTCTCAACGCAAGGAGAGCCACTACAAGAGATTCATTGTTGCTGCTGAACATGGTTTCTTCTGGTATCGAGATGGGTACTCTGATAAATCAGTCCTGGAGTCCGGCTAAAGACTTTAAAACAGCGCTTATTTGGAGGCAACCCAACATTTTATTTTGCTCTATTTTATTTTATTTTTCATGAATAAGTGATGATTGAGTTTTTTTGTTCCTAATTATTTAGAAATCTTTGATTTCTAAATTTTCGTAGTTTTTCTTAATCATTTACCTGATAAAATTTACCTTTGTTTTTGTTCATGTGGGGCAGCTACTCTCTAGAATAAATGGTGATGGAAAATGCTTGGATGGTTATGCAACAGATCTCTTTATTCTTTAACTTCAACAATTTCGTCCTCCATTTCACATTCCCAAGGTTGTGTCGTTTCTTTTCATTTTTTTTTTATTTTTGTCTTTTCTTTTCTTTTCACTTGGTTGCCTTGTTTTTTTTTATATTTTATGCATTGAGGGCAATGTATACTTTAAGTTTGGGGGAGAAATATATGTGTTTTGTGTTATGTGTTTTGTGTTTATTTTTCATTAAAAAAAATTAAAATTGACAAAAAAAGGGGGAAAAAATTAAAAAAATTGAAAAATCCAAAAAGGCCTATGATGAAGATGGTTTGATTATCTATAGCATGTAAGAATTAGGCTATTTTGAATTTTATTGCTTAACTTATGTATTTCTATATTACTTTGAATACCCTGCTTTTTATGCACTTAGTCGTGACTGTGGGATAAGCCTAAAGTGAGACATAGTTGCATGAGTTTGATGTAGATATGCTATGAAAGTTGTATTTGATTCACTCATACTTTTATGATTTGTATGTGGAACCCATCATGTTGTGAAGGAAAAGCAAGGCATTAATCCAATATCAGCCTTAAAACACCTTATTGCTTTGACACTTTGTGTTAAGTAAGTTTGGGGGAGGGGTGTTGGCGGATGTTTCTGAGGTTAGGTTAATTTTAATGAGGGAGAAAGGAAGAGCATTCAATGTTGATGCTAGCCCATTGAGAGGTGAGGAATTGGCAACTTGAGCGGAGAGTCCTCAGGCCCGGTGAGGAAAAATAGATATATAGACTGCCCTAAGTTGCTGAGCCACTATGTATAGGAGTAGAAAAATGCTTTGGATAGTGGCCTGAGTTGGAAAGAGTCCTGAAGAAAAGCCGCATGGACCGAAGAATGGATTACGAGGGGGAATAGGTTGTCTATGAGATAAGTCCTTCTACTTCATAGTATGTCTGGTGGTCCATTGCATTGAAATATGATATGAAATGTGAGTCTGTTGTTAAAGTAAAATGACATATTTGCAGTAGAGCTTTTGTTTTCTATGTTAAATGTAAAGTGATGTCCCTAAGAAACGGATCGCGCACCACACAAGCGTGGGGACTAAAAGTATCTATGGTTTGCATTTTGTTAGATAGTGCATATTAGAGGTAGTCGAGATCTGTGTGTTATATGATGATTGAATCTCTGAGGCTGTCGAATTAAATAACTAAATGTTTTTGTTTGTTTTAATTCTTGGGCATGCTTGAGGACAAGAAATAATTCAAGTTTGGGGGTATTTGATATGCTTATATTTTACCTATTTATTATATCCCTAATTCATGATTTTTGCTACTATTTTGAGTACAAATATGCTATTTATATGATTTTATCTTTATTTGTAGGAATTTTACTCAAATGGGAGAATTGTTGAGGTTTTGGACTAAATTGAAAAGAAAGAGCAACTAAAAAGGGGCTAAGTGAAGATTATAAGAACTAATGAGGAAGAAATCGCAAGAATTTTAATCCTAATTTTAATTGAGAAATAAGCTTTCGTATTCCTGAAGAAATAGAGTTTGACGAAACCCTATAAAAGGAGGTTTAGGGTAGGTTTTATTTTTTACCAACTCCACCGACCTCCATCACCTCACCACCACCTTGAGCCTATGCCCAAAGCTTCCATCACCAAACCCCACGCCTCCATCACCATCTATGCCTCATCACCGCCGCTCCACCTTCCAACTCCACGCACCAAATCCATCACCTCCTTTTCCTTTCAGCCCTAATACCTTCTACGCACACCATCACCTTAATCATCATCCCATCACCACCAAATCAGCTCCCAACTCCATGCCACACACCTCTTTTCAACCCCTCCTATATCAATCCCACGCCACCAGCACCATCACCATCCTCACGCATCATCATTGGAGGAAGCAAGCAGCAACGCATCAACCTCAGACTCAACTTTCGGCTGACTTTTTCCCGGGTTTCATTATTTTATTTATTTTTGATATGATGTGTAGCTAAATTATTTAATCTAAGGTTTTGGTTGTAGCCGCCGTACTATTTAATTTAATTAAATTATGATTGTGACTTTTTCATTAATTAATATTTATTATTCTTGTTTTTCATCCATGCGAATACCTGATCAATATTTGCATGCTTTAAGGTGCTAGCTGAAGTAGCGAGAGTGGAAGGCTAGTATTAGTTTATAGGAAGAATAAACTTAGGTAGTGAGCCACGAGAGTAGGAACACCGCCTTTGCGACTAGTAATTCCAAAGTTCTTAATGTGCTTTTATTAATCCCTATAGTCACGAGAGTAGTCATAGGGTTAGTTTAAGTAAGAGGGTTATAACACGAGAGTGTATAATTCTTAAATTGGTGAATTGTCGTGAGATTAATGAGAGTCAAAAGTCACATATCTATAGATTAAATTAAACTGAATAGTCAGTTGGTGAACCCTTTGCCCTAGGTTTTTCTTTTACTTATTTATATCTTTAAATAATTGCAATTGTTAGTTTTAGGTTTAGAATAGTTTAAAATTGATAAATTGTTAATCTAAATAATAATAAGAAATAGTTTTAACCTGCTTGCCACTTTACTACTAGTAATTGTATTAAGTAGGTAATTAATATTTGACTAGTGTAACGACGGCTGGTCAGAACTCAACTCTAATTTTTGGTGGTAAAATCATAATATTTGGTGGCGACTTCCGTCAAACACTACCTGTTATCATAAAAGGAACATAAAACGATGTCATCAACGCTTCAATTGTGATGTCACCTTTGTGGAATCATTTTGAAAAGCTTAAATTACCGAAAATATGAGAGCACGTTTTGATCCTTATTTTTCATCTTATTTACTAAGAATAGGAAATGATACTGAACAGACAAATGATAAAGGTGAAATTAGATTACCACCAGAGGTGAATATTCCTTTCACTAGTGAAACCACCTCATTGCACATACTAATTCACACAGTATTTCTGGGTATTGATAATCCTAACTTTGACATTCCTCCCTTTGTAAATCGAAGTATACTCACGATCAGAAACGAATTTGCTCATGAAATTAATAGTAGTATAATTAAAAGATTCTCTGGTGATGAAGCAACTTACCTTAGTTGTGACGAAAGCACAAGTGCTTGTTCAATCCCTGATCAAGAAGAACTTTTCCGTTCTTTGACACCTCAAGGATTACCACCACACAAATTGATTTTAAAAAAAAATGCCCCTATCATATTACTTAGAAACATCAACCCAACTGAAGGCTTATGTAATGGAACACGTCTTCTTTGCATTGATTTTACCAGTAATATTATCTGTGCTAAAATCTCGGTTGGTACATATACTGGAAAAACAGTTTTCATTCCTCGAATCACAATAAATGCTCCATTGGACAACTTCTCTTCTATCCCATTTAAAAGAAAACAATTTCCTGTACGTTTATGTTTTGCGATGACAATTAATAAAGCACAAGGCAAAACACTGGACTTCGTAGGTGTATACTTGAAAGAACCAGTGTTTTCTCACGGCCAACTGTATGTTGCTTTATCAAGAGCCAAAACTGTGCAACAAGTTAAAGTATTGATAAGACCCACAACACCACTTTTATCAAGCACTGATTATACTAAGAACGTTGTATACCGCAAAATTTTAACAGCAGCAAATGCAGGCTAAAATATATATATATATATATATATATATATATCTGTATAAAGATTACTGCAACAATACTTCTTCCTATTGAATAGTATGTACTCTTGTTGTTTTTCAATTCGCTACTGTAATGCAGATGTGTAATTTATATTTTTATTCTCTACAGATTCCATTAATGTACTGCACAATTATAATCTGTATTTTCACTCTTTGCAGACTAGCTGAGGAAAAATGCATACCAATTGCCAGCCTTGAACCTAAACTCCACGAATGGTGCATTCGAGTGTTAGTTGCTGAAAAAACTCCAGTAAGAACACTTCAATCTGGAAAGACACAACTGAAGCTTGTGTTCATCGATGACGAGGTATGATCCATTGTACAGTTATTTCTCACCAATGATAAAAAAGCATAATTTCTTGTAAAATCAATCACTACATTAGCTGTGAAACTCTTAGCTTCCATCTGTCTAACTGAAATAATTCTTTTGCAGCACACCAAAATAAAATGCATAGTTTTCCATCCAGATGCTCCAGATTTGGACGAAGTTCTGAAATTGTATAAAACCTATTATATTGGCAATGGGAAAATCATACCGCTGAATAGAAATTTTCCCATTATGGTGGATTACAAGTATCAAATGATCTTCAACAGAAGCGCAAACATCAAGGCAACTGAAAAAGAAGAAGAGCTTCCATTGGATAATGTTTATCAGTTGACTCCGTTCGCACAATTTCCGGATTTCATGGGCTCATCAGAAGACAAAGTTGATAAATCTCTCTTTTTTGTACTATGAACATTTCAATAGCATGCAGTTTCAAACCGTTTACGTACATCTTCATCTACTCATAATATTTCTCCTTTTTAGATATATTATGCAGTGTCATACATTTTCATCCGGTGCATTTCGTTACAACAAAAGGGAAAAACGTGCAGGAATTTGTCATTGTAAATCAAGAGTATGTAACACACTGCAAACAACATACCTTCTATTGTTTTTTCTTCACTTGATCCTTAAAATGTATGATTAATAACACATTCCTTTGAACTTACAGACGCTGGCCAATGCTTCTCAGCCTCTGGGAAGAATCTTTACATGAAGAAGGGCAACGATTGGTTAACAATATTCACAAAAATCTGGTAATACTCGCCACAAGATTGGTTATAACCTCTTTTCATGGTAAGACTAAACAATTTTTCCCACCTTCTTATGTCATCTGTTTACATGCATTAACAAATTTTATATTCACAACCCCAGGTATCTCTGTTAATGCACAGCCAAATAGCATGCTTTTGTTCGATACACCAATTGCTGAAGCCCAAGAATTAGAATCATGGTAAGCGCATACAAGTAGCAAAATTATTAAACTACAATTGCTTTTGACTATCTATTAACTGGGGAAATGAGACCTCTTGACATTTTTGTAATTTTTCCTATTACATGCTCCACTGTGTAGATGATTCTCTGTTATACAATAACTGTTCCATGTATGATTATTTTCATCAGTAATTAGATAGAATCTCTTGTAATGTTTTACAAAATGTTAGTATTCATACTTCGCAAACCTCAGCATTTGGAGTTGGGTAAATTGTTTTAAGTTGAATTTCAGTAAAGAGTATGTAAATTAGGATTAAAACTTGTGAATTGATTTTGGACTTTAGTTTTGGGCAGGTGCAGGCTTAAGGAACAACCCTTGTTTATTTAAATTCAATATTTCCTATCTACTGTATGGTTTTGATGTTGTTGTTTGCTATCTTTTGATCTTTTATTGATTGAGCTTGAGGGAAAGAAAGAAAGCCAGAAAGGTAAAGGAACAGGGAAAATGAACAGAAAAAAAAAAAGAATAATAGATTCTTGTTGTTCCTCCTGTATTATTTGTCATTGATTTTAAGCTATAGGTGTTGAAGTTGCGGGTTTGTAGTTATTTTTATCAAGTACTTTACATAATCTAGATCTTTTCATAAAACAGAGGAAGGTGTATGAAGTTAAATTTATAGAGGGATTAAGAATTTTCACATTTGAATGACTGTCTTGAGGGTCCTGATTATCCAGTTGTATAAAGTTTATTTTTGTGTGCTTTCTTACCAAATTCGCCTTCTGATGCTTGAGTCTTGTTTTAGTTTTAAAATCTCCAAATGGCTACACCGGATCATGGGAAATTTTGTTTAAAATATGGTACCATTTTTAGTATATTCCTAAATTGTAGAAAATCCAGATTTGTGGTCCTCTATTCAGATACATTTTTCACTTATTCGCTAATGTTTTTTCAGAGATTTCTTATCATGAGTATCACCTTTGTTTAGTGTAGTTTATTTTATTTTTTTTACGGATTTTTAAACGAATTTTTGGATTGCTCAAAATTGTTATTTGAACATGATATGTTTGAATTGAAATTCGTATAAAATTCAGAACTAACCCCTTCTGTTATCAGGCCTGTTTCTCTTGACATTTTTGTGATTTTTCCTATTACATGCTCCACTGTGTAAATGATTCTCTGCTATACAATAACTGTTCCATGTATGATTATTTTCATCAGTAATTAGATAGAATCTCTTGTAATGTTTTACAAAATGTTAGTATTCATACTTCGCAAACCTCAGCATTTAGAGTTGGGTAAATTGTTTTAAGTTGAATTTCAATAAAGAGTATGTAAATTAGGATTAAAACTAGGGGTATAAATGAACCGAGCCACTCGCGAGCTGGCTCGGTCAAAGCTCGATTCGAAATCGAGTTGACCGAACTCGAGCCGAGCTCGATAATTAATCGAACCGAGTTCAAGCCATGATGATGACTGCTCGGTAGCTCGTCAAGCTTAACGAGCTTCAGTATATATTTTATATATATATATATTTCTTTTATTAATATATTTTTTATTAACATACTAAACATCAGCTATTGTACTTGATATTATTATTTTTTTTACCACAAGTGGTTATTACCACTCGATGAAACTTGCCTTATCCTTCTATAATTCACAAATTTTTATGTTCTCAGTTCTCCCGTCTTCCTTTCTCTCCTCAGCGGTCGAAAATCCAACTCTCAAATTCTCACCAAAATTATTGTAATTTCTTTTCTAATCTTTGAATAACATGCATCTCATACTACCATCATCGAATTTCAGCCAAGATTAGTAGCTCTAGGATCTAAGTTGAAAAACCCTAGACACTTTGTTCTCTCTGGGCGGTGTATTATGTTCTCCCTTTTCACCTCAATTGTATCTCTTTTTGGTACACCACAGGTACTCTCTTTTTCTATAATCTTGATTATACTGTGTGGGTTCTTCTTCTTTTTTTTTTTTCATTTTGTATGGGATTACATTCCATGAATTATGAAGTGGCTTTTTTCAATTAATTATGAATTTTCTAACCTAGATTTATTGAATTCAAATATGTTTCGCTAGAAAGTTTTGGCAAATGGATTGTTAATTCCAATACCTCCTTTGTTGTTTTAATAGATAGATTTTCATTTTTTTCTACCACTACGTTCCTCATAAAAAAGTGTGCTTTATTGAGGTTTGAGTTTGTTGAAGAAAATAAAGTGGATAAAAAGGGACATGGGGATGGTTTTGGTTCTGCCGAATTGAGGGAGAAAGGTTTTGAGAGTTTATTTATTTAGTTTTCCTTGAAGATAGTTTGGGGGCTCTTTCCCTTAATTGATTTTTGCTTATCATGTACTACCAGAAAGCCAATGTTTTCATAAATTTGTCGTTACTTCAGTTTTGATACTATTGTTTTGATATGGGTTAATAATTTTACATATTCTTTCTTTAGAGAAGTAGAAAATTGAACCATAATATGCTCTGAAAATAATTCTATTCCATGTACTGTCGTTCCTAAATGATGGAGACAAATGAGGCAAATGGTGGTGTAGCTGGTGGTGTAACTGGTGACGCAACTGGTGGAGCAACTGGTGGTGCAGATAGTGTTGAAGCACAAGAAATTATTCTAGAGAATGAGAAATTCCAAACAAATAAGAGGAGGAAAACATCAACAGTTTGGAAAGACTTTCAACAACTCAAAGAGGATGGAGTTAGTAAGGCCAAATGTTTGTATTGCCCTGTAACCTTAAAATTGGGTGAAACCGGAACTACGACAGGCTTGAAGAGGCATAGTGGTATTTGTGTGAGGAGAAAGATACATTTGCAAGAAGTTGCAAGACAATCAAAGCTGAATTTTATGCCGACAGGAGAATGTTCACCTGCAATTCCACCTTTGTATTTTGGAATCATTAACATGGAACAAATGAAGGAATTAGTCACCCATTGGGTTATGATGCATGAACATCCATTAACCATTGTGGAAGAAGAAGTATTTAATTTCATGATGAAAAGATTGATGCCGGAATGGAGAAATATAAGTAGAATCAAATGCAAGGAAGATTGTGTGCAAGTTTATGAGATTGAGAAAAAGAAGTTGAAAAAGACTCTCCAAGGTGTTAGCAAGATTAGTTTGACAACCGACTGTTGGAAATCAAAGTATCAAAAGATTGAATATATGGTTGTTACTGGGCATTGGATTGACAATTCTTGGAAGTTACAAAAGAGAGTCTTGAACTTCTTCCACATTCCACCACCAAGAACAGGTATTGAACTTTCTGACGCCATTTTTACTTGCATGAAAGAATAGGGTACTGAGAACAAGGTATATTCGGTGACTCTTGATAATGCATCAAACAATGATTCGGCTATCAAAGAATTGAAACAGATAATTCAAAGGTCAAGAAAATTGTTATGTGGAGGAGATTTGTTTCATGTCCGTTGTTGTGCGCATGTGTTAAATTTGTGTGTTGGTGACAGATTGGATGAATTCAAAGATATTATTCCGGTAGTGAGAGAAATTGTAGAATATGTGAACCGTTCCGAGAATAGGCGTGACAAATTTACTGCTTGTGTTCAACTACTACAATTGAAAGATAGGAGGTTAGTCCATGATTGTAAAACGCTATGGAATTCAACTTTTGAGATGTTAAGTTGTGCACTGAAGTTCAAGGAAGCTTTTAAAATGTTTGCAGCTCGTGAAAATGGGCATTGTGATTGTTGTCCACAAGAGGAAGATTGGGTTAAGTTGAAAAAATTTGTTCAATTCTGGAACCTTTTTGGACAGCCACAAAGATTGTTTCCGGTTCAGAATATCCTACTTCAAATCTTTATCTCCAGGAAATTCAAAAGATAAAATCATCATTGGATAGTGCTACTAATAATCCAGATGATTTCATTAGGGCTTTGGCTTGGAAGATGAAGCTAAAGTTTGATAAATATTGTGGTGAGTGTAATCTATTGATGTCTATTGCTGCAGTACTTGATCCCACCCAAAAGATGCTGGCAGTTAATTTTTGTTTTCCAAAGCTATTTTGTGGAGAGGAAGAGGAGAAAATAAAAAAGAAAATAGAAAATGTTGAGGCGAAACTCAAAAGTCTTTATTTGGAGTATGTGGCTGAAAGTTCTAAGAAATCCTCTTGTTCTTTGATGTCTGAGAGTTATAATTCTTTGGGGACAAATGAGGGCCAATCAAATGTTGCACATAACTGGGATGATTTTGATTCATTTTGTGATAAAATTGAGACAGTAGGGCCTATGAAGTCTGAATTGACAGAATACTTGGAAAAAAGTCGACTCAAGAAAAATGAGATTGCCTCGGACTTTTCTTGTTTGGATTGGTGGAAGATGAATCGGATGCATTAACCCATTTTGTCAAGAATGGCAGCTGATATTTTAGCCGTCCCGTTTAGCTCAGTGGCTTCTGAAGAAACATTTAGTGCGGGCACGAGAGTAATTGATTCTTATAGTTCATCTCTAT